TGACCATCCACTAACCATCACCTGACACATGTACTGACCACCTACTACCCATCCAGTTCTCTATTCACCCCCCTCCCCCCTCCCCACAGATATCTAAGATGTCACTAATGCATGAACCAACCTTGAAAAAAGTAAAGTATATTGCAATAAGTTGGCTGGCCAATTCATGATCATTCTTGCCGAGGATGTTTTGATTCAGAAAGCAAACAGCATAATACCTGAAATTGAACAAGACTTAGTATTCACAGATTATTATCAACCAGTAATAAAATAATGCTGAGTAGTACTTACTGTGCTTTGTCGCTAATATTTGGACGAAAAAGTAGTCGCTCCACTTCTTTAACGACCACCATCTTCATGTTTGGATGTTTTGTAACTATCAAAAAAGAAAATGAACAACACTATGAATATGGCTTTATTAACATTGAAATAAACAGTATAAGAAAAATATTGTATGCCCTTGGCAGGACTTAAGCTCAAGTCTTCAGTATTTAATTATTCTGATGTGTTAACCACTACACACTAAAATGACCAACAAGCCGTGCAGACAGACAATGAAACATAGGACGACTGTTGAGGTCCCAGGGCAAGATTTTTTCTCTATGGGAAAGTTGAATGCTGTGAAGTAGGAAATGGCATTGGATGTAATCATTAATCCTATTATCTCACCTAATGATCTCAAGAGATAAGAAGCTTTTGATGCAACATTGCGATCAGGGTCACCAACTTTGTTGACCAGTAATTTCAGCAACACCTGAATAGTATTTTATTAGTAACTTTTGCTTTAAAGAAACAAAGATGATCAACAAAAGCATCTTAGCAAGAGCTAATGTGATAATGGTTGGGAATTAAAATCATAAATACTAATGTTTGTAAACACCAACAAGTGCAATATGCCATCATTTACTTATAGCTGTATGCTAATTATAAATATTCATTATATGATAAGTTGTATCATTGCCATGGCAACAAGAGTGGGAGCTGTTTAAAGGTACCTGTTCTTGTTCTGGTCGCTGACATAACAGGTCGAATATAATTCCTAGGTAAACAGAAAAAAAAAAGACATTAATTTGGAATTAAATGGACTAAAAGATAAGATTGAATAAAAAGAGAAGGGCTAAATGAATAAAGGAATGGATTGATTGATGAGGGGCAAAAAACATTGGGATCAATAAACTGATGGATATATGGGTATCACTAAGTTAGTAGATGGTACAGATAAACAGATCTTACCCAAAGTCTTGCTCCTAATATTTATTATTGTATCTTGAAGATGTGGCTGGAAAAATAAAACCAAACACTTATCATCAACAAACAATTATTATATATGGAAAAAATGTGTTGGATTAAAGCAAGCTTTTTGCATTTTTCTGCACAAATCCCAATAAACTATTTAATTCAATTTTTATTTAAAGCCATTTCTTCTGTGGCACATATTGTGACCTGAAGCTTCACCCTTATAATAATATAAAGATGCATATTCAATTTCTGGGGTTCATATAGATAGGTGAACGATGAAGAAATTTGTTTGATCAATTGTTATTTAAATTGAATCTATTGGACAATCCAACAAAGCAAAGTGACAATTTAACCTATTGTTAAAATGGTTGGTACATTAACATCACAATGGCAATGTTTATAAACATTACATCCATCTATTGATCAGCCCCCTCAGTTTAAGGTGGGCTCAGGGTTACATGATTGACCTTTTAATACAATTCCCAAATTAGTCACATCAACAAACCTCAAAGGTTGACACAAAATCGGCATACTTCTGCTTGAGAACATTTTCATAATGCCACAGTATAAGTCTAGTTTGTCTTGCTTCTGTCGACAGCTTGTTCTTCTTTGTAACTTCCACTAACCCAAGGGGTTGCTATGGGAATGATTCACATATTATCGTCATAAGATATTTTTGTTGAAATATTAATATAATTTGATACAAAAACAAGAAATTAAATGATTTAGGATTCATATAATGGCCTTTCTATATGGATATAATTGAAGCTGCTTTACAATGAGCTATGGTTTTATGAGGTGGTTTTTAGTACAAGGTATAGACACTGAGGGTGGTGACTGCCAGGGTATCTTTACATCCTTAGTGGTTCTTTTACATCTCTCCAATATTGGTATGATGAAGTGTGGAGAGTCTGACCAGACCACCATTTGAAATAGTCATGCAAGCCATTTGAAAGTCTAACAATTTCAAAATGTTATTACAAAGGTAGCACCTTCTCCTCAGTTATTTCAAGATTATGAGTGTTAGACCAGCCAGGGTTAATCCTATGATCAATACAAACCTGGACAAAGGTTTTCAATTTTCTGTCTTCTGGGAGAAGATCTTCTAACCACAAGTCTTTCAATGTGTCTAGAGAAAATAATTGCTTTATTAAAATTGATGGCAAAAACATTTTTATAGTGAAGGTCATTTAGTTTCTCACCGATAGCCATCATGCTCTCTCTTCGGCCTTTTTTCTTTGCCATGGCAACTAGCATGTCTAGTGCTTTCACTTGATGAACTGGAGATTCCTGAGAATCATGATATGGTAAAAATAGCAACTACAAATTGTGTACAGGAAAATATCCATACCACACTATCTATCAGATAAAGATAAGAATTACTGAAGGATAGGGAATAGCTGTCAGAACTGCATGTTGTAGTAGTGGTACTACTTTAATAGGCCTTGTATAAATTTGATAAACAGGGTGCATTCTGGTCTACCTTGGGTACAAACATCACCATATAAGGCATGATAAAGCAACACATGTTTGTACCCAAGCTAGACCACAATGCTTCATGTTCACTATCTCAGAAAAGGCCTCGTGGGTCTAATGGTGAAACATTATGTTTTCCATAATTTTATTTGAGGCTTGTAAATGTTTAATTTGTCTTCTTGAACCTTACTGTAAGGAAAGAAATAATACTCAAGAGAATGACATGATTTGAAATTGGACAACAGAAACTAGGTCTATTTTCTTCTTAAGAAAGTTGTACTGGTATTGAATAGGCTATTGACAGTTTACCTGGACTTGTAATGTCAGGGCAGCAACCTTGTCTCCAAGTGTTCCTGATGTAGTTACAGTCCTTAACCAGTTACTATCTGATGCTCCTTTACTACTTTTCACTGGAAAATAGTAATCACAATATGAACAATTTCTCCTAGTCTGGGCTTCCTGTGGTAATTGCAAGACAGGTAGCCCACCCACTTTTCACCATGCTTATTTAATAAAGAAAATAGACCAAATTCAAAACTCGCACCGATGTGAGGCTTAAGTTGTGAACAAAGGGATCTGGCGTGACTCAAAGTAATCTGAYGTGATTCAAAAGTCACGAATCACGCCAGATTCCTTTGTTCACAACTTAAGCCTCACATCGGTGCGAGTTTTGAATTTGGTCTATAAGCACAAGTGAAAGACAATAAAAGAAGGTCACCCATACTTTTATGATAGATTTCAGTGTCATGCTCCCAGATCTCTAATGCCTCTTTTTGTAGTTTGTTTATTGTACTGGAAGATGGAGAGGACATGCATTTTGCATCTTCAGGAATCTGCAACAATAGATACCAAAGATTATTAGAATTGTTCTTTAATAACTATAAGGCAGTGACATTGTCGCAAATGCCAGAAATGACTGTGAGCTGACAGACACCCACTGAACTAAAGCACAAAGATATCACAGGTCTGCTCATACAATTAATATTATTGGAATTATCATAATTTGGGTTTCTTTACAAGCACAACAACTTACCTTTTTGGAGTAAACTTAAAGAATTTATATGTTTAAATAAAAAAATAAAAAAACTTACCTTTAAGTATCTATCTATTGCTTTACAGTTTTTAATCAGTGTCCTATCTTATTCATTTATTGTATTTAACATGTCAACACAGACCTAATGAGCAACTACTAGTCCTGATTACGTATACCGTGACTATACTGTTTCCATGCCAGTAAGTTGTTCTGAATATCAAACTTCTCCCTGGGATACTCACCTGATCATACCACTTGCCACCAGGTTTTATCAGTAGCTTCTTCAGCAGAACAGTCATCTGTTTATCCTCTTCATCATCAACATCAGTCTTTGGTTCCTGTTTCTGTGAATTATTGTTGGTGTCTTCTTTCTTTGATTTTCTTTCTTCTTTTTTGATTGCTTTTACAGGTTGAATCTTTTCTTTGTTATTGTCTGCACCTTCCTCTACATCCTCATCATTATCTTCATCTCCAAGCTTGTCATCCTCTACCTTTGTCCCTCTGTGGACAATAACCAATGGTATCATAAATGCAGTTAATGCTTGATAAAATGCAATAGAGATCAATTTTTAATCAAAATCCAACACTCTAAATTCCAATTTGATCTGTGTGTTAGCCATGCCCTGACTTAATTAGGTCAGCCAAGAGGCTTTTTCAGGCTATCAATAAGATTTGTTTTTTTATATGTTAGAGGGGGTATGCTGTCACTGAGGCCTCATCTGGAATTAATGTTAGCTTCCTCTTTTCCTACTCTAAACTCTGCTGTCTGGTTAATTCACCCAAACCTCAATTTTATAATAACACTGATATGTCACCCATATAACTACCTTTAATTCAAACTTGGATATTAAATGGATATATGATAGTAGTCAATATTTCTATATTAAGTATCTATGAATTCTGAATTGTACTTGAGATTGTGCGATTTCCTATACAAAGTCTTTGTATAGGAAATCGCATGATCTTGAGTACAACTCAGAATTCATAGGTACAAGTGATGTTTTGAAAGTTTTCAAATTTGGACAAGCCTTTATATTAGGCAAGTCCAATTTGAGAACTTATCAAAACATCACGAGAAGATTGTGTGATTGTTTGTTTATAATATGCCCAACAAAATTATGCAACTTAATTGGGACTCTACAGAGTACAATTTGGGATTTAATTGTACTCCTCTTGTCCAATCAGAATTGAGTGATTTTGTTGAGTGTATTATAAAGAAATAAATAGTGATTTGTTTTATATATATGTACCCTTTTTCTTCTGTCTCTAGAATGATTTTGTCAAGCCCGAGTCCTTGTATCATTGACATTATCTATGAATAAATAAAATACATTCATGTCATACCTCAGAACCTTTATATAATAAGTCCTTTACCCCACACCAATGAAGACACAACCAAACAATCAGAATGCAGGAGGTAGTTATCCAATCCTTTCCCAGTATTTCTCATGACAAAGCATGGAATATCCCTTGTGTCTCTTGCATTCTTTTACACTGAAAGCTCACACATATAGAAAACACAAGTACTCCAATTGGGATATTCCATTATACAGTGTGTGTTTGCCACTTAAAACTAGTGGATTGAAAGTTCTGTTTGATAAACTTGCTTAACTTGCTTTACCTCATCTTTTTTGAGCACTGACTTCCCTTTCGCCTTAGCATCTGTGGTCAGTTCGTTGTCAGCATTGACATCTTTAATCATATCGTAGTCTTCCTACAAGACAACCACCACATTATAGCAAAGACTTAGTAAACTCTTTTTTAGTATATTTTTTATTAAGATAACTAACTAAACTTACTGTTATGCTAATACAAAGCTTAACTCTTTACAGTGAAAGGAATCCAAGGTCAATTCTTAAACTCTGAAACGCTTAAATAAGAGTTTTGACTTCTTAAAAATTTTGAAATTTCAAAACATTTGAGGTTTGACCGACAGACTTGGAAATATTTTTCTTTGTCAATTAAACAAAACCCAACAAAGAATAGCTTGAATAGAAAAAAATATCTAACCTTGTCTCCTCCAACCGCTAATACATCTTCTAAAGTAAGATCCACGGCTTGTTTCCGAGATTTTTTCTTCTTCTCTACTTTACTCTTCTCCTTGGTCGCCATTTTGTTTGTTCCACGTGCTGTGAGAGCTTACCACAGGAAACCCATACTGTGCAGTGGACCCTTCCTCACTGTAAGTATCGATAGCAAATTTTCCAATTTTCAATTCATCAAGCTTTCTTCGGCATTGCGAAAACGCGGATACCGCCATAAAAAAAAATATGACTTCATATTTCATATGTTAAATGGTACCTTAGATTGGAAAAGCAAAAGTCTCGATTTTATGCAAATCCTTTCAGTTTTGATGTAGGCTATCAATGATTGTTAATCACATGTGAATTAAAAATTTTTTTTGCATTCTTTTTTTTGCAACACTTCGGAATAGAATCACTAGTTATGAAGAATAAAATAAAAATTATAGGACAAAAGCTGCAAATTCGGCGTAAAAAAGCGTATAAGTTCCGTACGATCCAGCCAACTGAAGTCCAGTCCATTCCATCTACGTTCGGTTCCTGATTTTCCAAAATTTAAAAACGCTCAAAATTTGGGTTTCTAGAAGAGGAAACCAAATTCTAGAAGTTGGGCATGTTTTTAATGTACATTAAGATTATCCATGGCCTTTCAAAAGGTGAAAATTTAAAAAAAAAAAAAATTTTTATGATTCATGATCCAGTCACTGACTGAGGCCCAGTCACTTGCAATCCATTTCAGTCACAACCAATCCATTCCAGTCAAATCCAAGCAACATCCAATTTATCTCAATAGCATTCTTAATGGAGAAAAATTAGTCGTAAAAATCTAAACATCCACAGACTCACCAATAGAAACATATGATGTGTACAATCCTTTGCCTTTTGTCAATGAACGGCTTCTCAGGACTTTAACCAGTGCCGCTATAAAAAAAAAAAAGTTTTTTTTTTTGCAACGTTTCGGAAAAAAATCACTAGTTATGAAGAATAAAATAAAATTCATAGGATAAAAGCTGCAAATTAGGCGTAAAAAAGCATATAAGTTCCGTACCATCCAGCCAACCGAAGTCCAGTCCATTCCATCTACGTGCGGTTCCCGATTTTCCAAAATTAAAAAACGCTCAAAATTCGGGTTTCTAGAAGAGGAAACCAAATTTTAGAAGTTGGGCATGTTTTTACTGTACATTAAGATTATCCATGGCCTTTCAAAAGGTGAAAATTCAAAAAAAAAAAAATTATGATTCAAGATGCTGTCACTGACTGAGGCCCAGTCACTTGCGATCCATTTCAGTCTCAACAAATCCATTCTAATCACGTCCAAGGAATTAACATTCAATTTATTTAAATAGCATGTTAATGGAGAAAAATTAGTCGTAAAAATCTAAACATCCACAGACTCACCTATAGAAACATGATGTGTACAATCCTTTGCCTTTTGTCAATGAACGGCTTCTCAGGACTTAACCAGTGCCGCGATCAAAAAATTTTTTTTTCATTTTTTTTTTTGGCAGCATTTCGGAATAGAATCACTAGTTATGAAAAATAAAATAAAAATCATAGGATAAAAGCTGCAAATTCGGGGTAAAAAAGCATATAAGTTCCGCACGATCCAGGCAACCGAAGTCCAGTCCATTCCATCTATGTTCGGTTCCGGATTTTCCAAAATTAAAAAACACTCAAAATTCGGACTTTTAGAAGAGGAAACCAAGTTTTAGAAGTTGGACATGTTTTTACTGTACATTAAGATTATCTATGGCCTTTCAAAAGGTGAAAATTCAAAAAAAAAATTTAATGATTCAAAGATCCTGTCACTGACTGAGGCCCAGTCACTTGCAATCCATGTCAGTCACAACCAATTCATTCCAGTCACATCCAAGTAACATCCGATTTATATACTGATTTGTTTACTCACAGATTAGTTCTTATCTTAAATCATTATATTCACTTTTGAAGGCTCGAAAGATGCAAGGCAAAAAGCACTTTTTGGTAACATAATTGATTGAAAAAAGGAATAAAGCGACACATACTACTTTACCCAAATTTCGTTCATTTATTTATTTCAACAATATTTATACAGGGATGTCTCATATGGCAGAGCTAGTTAAATAAAGAGAGCCCAAATGTGGAAAAATACATAATTTTATATAATTTTACAACACGAGTAGTTACTGGCTTTCAAAAATTCATTTACAATCACAGTAACTACTGGGTTACAACGTCCCTTTTACAACACCAGTAGTTACTGGCTTACAAAAATTCATTTAGAATCACAGTAACTACTTGGTTACGACAAAGCTTTTACAACACCAGTAGTTACTGGCTTACAAAAATTCATTTACAATCACAGTAACTACTATTAATATTGCACCTATCAATATTGAAGTGGTTTGAGTTATAAAATCCCATTAGTCTCTTACTGTTAATGGTATATGTAGCTGATGCACCATGCTTAGCTAGGCCAGGTGTAATGTCGTAGTGAGATTACCAGGGTGGAGAGGCAAGCACACAAGTTTTCAGCAAGAAAATTTCCACCAAATTAACAGGTAGCTCAACAAAATAGGAAAAGGGGAAAATTTATGATTTTTAGTCAAACTTTGTTTGGATGGGAGGAGAGGGGGGGGGGGGGAGATCAAATCCCTTTCTACACCCCTGGCCAGGTATTGCCTCTAGAACATCACGTTTACAGACTCTGCAAGAGAGAGTGTAAAAGGGTATGATGATATTCATTTCTTTGGTGGCTCTTCCCAAGGTCTGGGTCCTCTTTTGTTTTTCCAGGTGTCAATGTCAACTTTAGAATGAATTTCCTGTAAAAGACAATTTTTGAAGAGCAATTATTACCTTTTGGATAAGCAATTTATTGAAGCACTAGGTATGGAAATATTTGATTATACTTCATTTGTTGAAAATGTATCGTATGAAAGAGAAGAGGGTGTATTTTGTGGAACTATATCTACTTACATCATATGCATCTTCTAATGTTATGTTTTTTTCTCTTTGTGGTAAAACATTTAAGGCTTCTTCTCTAGTCAGCTGTTAAAAATAACATAAAATAATAAATTAGACAACAATGTGGTTAGGATTTTTTTGTTGTTGTTTAAATTGATTAGTGTATACTTACCTTTTGATACTTGGAGTCTCTTCTTTTTATTTTGATATCTGTGAACTCTTTTAATCCAAATGATCCAGCAATCATGAGAAACTGAAGGGAGCGAAAATGGAAGAGAAAAATTATTGATATAATCTAATCATCATCACCTCTCACAACCATTGCATCACCATCACATTATCATCATCATATGCATCACCACTCATCATCATTAGAATTAATTACCACTGGCATCACCATTATTACATTCATCATTATCATCACCACTTGACATTATCATCATCATCATGTGTCATCATCATCAGCAGCAGCATGCATGTATCATCCTCATCATGTATTGTAGCAACTTTTCTTATCACAACCTATTGTTTTCTTGTGTATTGTATTATTCCTCGACTTCCTGTTCTATTTCTGCATTCGATCGCTTTTTATTCGTTTTTCTCTGGACCAAAATATACGAACCACAATAACATTATCCTCCCGGGGAAGCAACTACTGTATTTAAATCAATGCTTATCAAGCAAAAACCTGGGTAGTGGAGCACAGATGTCACATCACTATTCTATCACTATTCTATTCTACACATCATCTACTTACCACCATAGGTACTCCAAACTGTAGAAATCTCTTCTGCGTCCGACTCAATGTTGAGAAAATTCTGGACGCCATTTTGTTTGCTCTGTAACCAGGCCGTTCGACTGCTGGTCTGTAGTTCGAAGATCGCGGGCTCGAGTGGAAAACAAAATGGCGGCCGCCKTGGTGAGATTCACGTGTGCTTCAAGTACGAGGAAGATCTTGACTTGTTGGGCATCTTTAAGGACAGTTCAAAGCATTGGAGTTGCTCAGTGTCGGGGACTGCTTTCATTCACAGGTAAGAAGATGGACAATTTTTGTGTACGAGATATTTTGATAGAGATCCATCACAGCTGATGTTTGAAGTCGTCGTGTTGTAGCTTTGCCTCGCTCCTGTACATACTAAGGCTGCATTCGTTATGTATGGCGGGGGGGGGATTTTGTGCTTTTCCTCTCGTTCTCTGAAAAAATATGTGATCTACTCTAAACTCACAAATAATTTTCAGACCAACTCCATATTTCACACCTCCCCCCTCCCCCCTCCCCCCGACATACATAATAAATGAAGCCTAATATAAATATGTATTGATGCACACTAACCTTTGTTCTAATCAAAGACAAAGTGTCCAGCATTGGCACATCAAGATCCAAACATATCCTTAGATATAAAGTATCCTAAGCTCATTAGATAAATATTAATACATTTGTAATGATAGTGAGATTATTGCTGTTTTTTATTACAGGTCAAAAGTCCTTGCCATCGCTGACTGCTCTACAGACAGTACAATACAGATATTATTCCAGTACAGATAGTAAGTTCTATGTCATGCAAACTTATTTTTATGATTATGTTTCCATGACAACTCCAGARTTAATGAGGCTTTAAAAACATTGAATCATAATATTTTTTTCTTTATTGCCTTATAATGAAACTCAGTTCATATAATATATAGAAGTACCTCCTTTTAATCTTGTAGATGAATATGAGAAGCTTTGGGCAGCAGCAACAGGAGGAAGAGGTACTGGACGTGGGAGGAAAAAGAAGGTACAGAAGGGGGTTGATCCAGAGAAACTGAAGTATGGTCGAGGGGAATCAAAGTGGGAAGGCTTTAATGCCCCCATCGTGATAGAAGGAGACCAGATCCCTAAAGAAGAGGAGAAAGATTGGGAAGAAGGTGATGGAAGAAGACGAACGTCATGGTTCTCCAGGGGATGGAGTGGAAGGACATGGCCAGGAAGGAAAGTAGGACACCCAGAAAAACCAGACAGAGGTAATAGCACAATAGAACATCAATAGCTGAGTAATAATGGGTCATTGGTAGTAGGGGTTTAATATGTTAATATTAGGGTGTTTGCAGTCATTTGTGTCAAGTGTCAGAGGGACATTGGTGTTGGTACATGTAGATTGTAGATCTATGTTGTTAATGACTTTTGCAGGTATTGTTACTAAGTTGTCAGCCACTAAAGCCACAAATATTCTAACTACTATTCTTTTTTATGATTCTTAGAGGTGTTGAAGGATTTTGACTCAGTAGTACTTGAGGTAAGGCATTAGTTTTGAAATCTTCCTACCAAAAAATATATTTTTCAACAAGTTTTCTTTCTCTTAACAGCTCGTCAGAGTGAGTAACGTGACAGCTAAAGGCAAAAAGAGATCTCAACGAGCTCTTGTTGTTGTCGGCAACAGAAATGGTGCAGCTGGTAAGAAGCTAAGTAATTAAATAACTTTTTGACCCATCTTAAGGAAGTAGACTTTTGAATTCTTGATCTTCTCATAGGTTTTGGTGTTGGCAAAGGACAAACTCCCATGAGTGCTATTCGCAAGGTAAAATACCTCAGTCTGTATAAATATTATCTAGAAGATATAACTTTACAAGGGTTTCAAATTTCCATGCCCAAATTTAAAAACTTTTTCTGAATGAAAACCAAAGATTATGAAAAGTCTGAATTAAAAGTTTTTGAGGGAATCAAAGGTGGTGTAGTGGTAGTGCATTAATGTTTCTCACCTTTAGGGTCTTTTATTCGTTCCTGGACTTGGCATTACATGTGAGTAGAGCTTGTTAGCTCTCTTCCTTTATTAGAGGGGATTCTCAGATTACTCTACAAAACTTACCAAACTATATTTCAATTAGATCAGTGAGTTAGCCATGGCTGACTTTTATTTAGTCCAAAGGTTGTTTCAGGGCATTGATAAAATTTGTTCAACGATATTTTTGCTTCCATTTCACAGGCAAGAAACAAAGCTGCCAATTACCTTTACTATGTTGAACGCTGTGATAATCACACAAGTAAGCAGGGCTGGAGACGTGATATTTGATAGTGAATTTTAAACTCGTCATGTACGACAAAATTAAGCCTTTCTTTTTTCCCCAGTTTTCCATGATCTTGAAACCAAATATAAGAAGACCAGAGTGATTTTTCAGAGGAAACCAGAAGGTGAATAGAATAGGAAACTAAAGTAGTATTGTTTTCAAACATTCTTCTTCACCTTTAATGTTTTCCCACTGACAGCAAATCATTCCCTTGGGTATGAGATTCTACTTTTAAGTCTCATCCATGTTGAAGTATCATCCAAAATTGCTGGTGAACAAAAGAAATAATACTATAGGGAAAGAAATGTGGTCTGAAATGGGTAAACACTAGACATAACCTAAAAAAATCTCTTCAAATAAACCTTAGATATATAGGTATATAAAAATAATAACTGACATTTTTGCCCTTTGTAGGATATGGGTTGAGATGTCACCGAGCTATCAAAGAAATTGCAGAACTGCTTGGAATTGAGGACTTGCGCTGTAAAGTGATTGGTCCAACAACACCCCTAAGTTTGGTGCGAGCTGTTTTCCAGGGTCTAACAAGCCAGGTAACAAACAAAGACAGACAGACGGACATTGGCTTGGAACTGGCTTAGGAGGCATTTGGCCAGACGGATGCCAAATTTGGCTGGAAATTGTCAATTGAATTGCCATTATTTTTAACTCTGAACTTTGATTAACCTGATAACCCAAATATAAACCAACTTCTATTGGTTTTTAGGAAACCCATCAAGAGTTAGCAGACAGGACAGGCCTAAATGTTGTGGAGTTCAGAAAAGAGCTGGGCATGAGACCAATAGTCGTGGCCACACCCAGTCCTCAGGCAGCCAAGAAGTCTCTCAAGAAAAGAGTAGAAAATGACGATTATGACTTCCATGAAATATTTGACCCTCATAAAGGATTGCACCAACCTAAAAAGAAAGCTGATTTACTATAAATAGAACCCTTGCATCTGATCAGCTATACTGCCTGAATGTTTGTCCAAGAAGCACTCATTACCTGGACATAAACAAATTTAGACGTGGGACAAACATAACATCATGAAAGAAAGAACCATTTTTGCCAGGACGACAGACTTTTGTCCAGGTAGCATTCATTTATGCCCTTTAGGATCATTGTTACTTGGACATACTATTGTGAGAGAAAGAACCATGTTTGCCAGGACAACAGACTTTTGTCCAGGTAGCATGCATTTATGCCCTTTAGGATTATTGTTACCTGGACATACCATCATGAGAGAAAGAACCATGTTTGCCAGGACAACAGACTTTTGTCCAGGTAGCATGCATTTATGCCCTTTAGGATCATTGTTGCCTGGGCATACCAATGTGAAATACAGGCCCATAGTTCCCAGTCTTCTACTACAAATACAAATACTAGGAAGAATGAACCTCACTGGCTTGCAATACAGAAGAGCAACAAAGAATGTGCGCACTTGACTATAGGTGTGTGTCAACATTGATAAAATAAAACATTGCTAGTAAAATATTTCAGGAGCTCAGAAAGTCAACATAAAAATATGAATATTGTAAATATGAAATTGTTACTTTACAATGAAGTCAAAGTAATTGTTTTAATAAATGCTTATGGTTTCACATCAATGTTTTTTGTCACAATATTATTATCAACCTTTGTCTATTCTCTTTTACATATAAAACAAATTTTATAGTTTTTATTTATGTGTTAAAAATATTTTCTTTTTCTTTTATATGCCATCTGGAAGTTGTTAAAAATCTGATAATTAAGTTCCTTGGTGTGGCTCTTGGAATGAAAGTGTACATACTAGATGTTATAGGGTTTGATAGTTTTGGACTGGGCATTGGTTGAATGATCTTAGATCACAAWAAAAATTCAAAGTTTTCAGCTTTTGAAAGACTGTTAATATTCTTAATGTATAGCAAAAACATGTCCAACTTCTAAAATTTGATTTATACTTCCAGATTCTGAATTCTGAGAGATTTTTTATTTTGGAAAATCTAGAATTGTGTAGATTGGAATGGACTGGACGTCGGTTCACGGGATGGTGCGGATCGCATAACGTTTTACATCGAATTCGCAGTTTTTAACCCATAACTTTTATTCTAAAAATATTAACTAGTACTCTTATGCCTAAATGTTGCAAAAAATCAAGACTTTTTTTTTCATGATTAGAGAACCTACCATAACCCGTACTGGCTAAGGTTTTTGAGGGATGATTGTGTCAAAGGAATATTGCTAAATGATATCGAAAGTTGTGCTTAATTCGTTTGAAACTTGACTTACGTATCTGTATTGGATTTACCATTGGCAAGTATTAAATCAATTGGCCGACGTCAACACTGAAATCACATCCTGTGCTTTATGATAAAACATATTAAATTTACATATCAATTTTATGATTTTCATTTATAAAATTTAAGAAAATATGCATTTTGTTCTTTCATGCGATTCGTAACTTAAAAACGATTTAAAAATTCTTAAAATTCTTAGACCTAAAAAATTTGGATGGATCCTGGGATACACCCTTTTTAGCTTGGGCGTAATGCTTTCCCATGTCAAACCACGTTATTCTTTTGAGAATAAGATTCTTTGTGTGAGTTGTTTCCATATTCATGTGTGTCTCATTTCAGACCACGTGTCATTCTTGTGAGGATAATATAATTTGTTTCAGTTGTATCCATATTCATGTGTCTTCTCATGCACAACCGTTAAAGGAAAGGAATGACACTTAATTGAGGGAATGACACGTGGTCTAAAATGTGAAAACACTACGCCCAAGGCAATGAGGACTATAAACSAGGCGTAATTCCTTACACGTGCCTACTAGATGTTGATCGCGTTTGACAGTTTCCTCAGCTTAGGGCGTTCACCATCAGCCTGCAATACAACAGACTTCTGGTCAGTTAATTATTCCAAACTCTGAATCAGTTTGTGATTAATATTTTCCCAATTTAGACAACGTGTCATTCCCTTAAAGTATCACCTCGTTTATAGGTACCGCGGAGAAGATATAGTCACATACATTTGACTGAAGCTAAGGGGAATGATTGTAGTCTAAAGAGGAAAACCATTGACGCTCAATTGACTTGAATAATTCACGAATGAACGCACACATCCGTCTAGACATTACTTCTATTAAAGAGAGATGAGCTTTGTGTACGATAAGAACCACCCTACCTCGATATTAAGAGTCTTAGCCCACGTGGCGCGCAGTTGACGTCTTACTGACTTGATCTATTCATCAATGAACGCACACACACCAGTCTAGACATTATTTCTAACAGAGATGAGCTTTGTATACGATAACCACCATCACACCTTGATATTAAGAGTATCAGCCCACGTGGCGCGCCTGTTGACGTTATCAAAGACAAATCTATAATGGATTACCTCAAACTGAAGTACTTTTCTTCTGAGCAGCTGTAGATCCACCAAGGGAACAATAGATGGTCTGGAAGTGAAGGCGTGGGATGACAGCGTTAGTCTACATGTTTATGATCATGAAAGGTCTCTCTTGCTAATAGCATAAAAATGCATTATAATGTTCTAATTTGGGGGAATGGGGTCTGCCGCACAATGGAGATAAAAGAAAGAAAAAATGAGAAAGGAATGGGAAGAAAAAGGAAAGAACTGAAGAAGAAATGAGTGAGGAAGAAAACAGAAGAAATAAAAATAAAGAACAGGAAAAAGAAGGAATGAAGAGACAAAGAGAAGAGAAGCATCTTTTCACAAGACTCCAAAGAATGAACTTTTAGTTTTAAGCAAACGATGCATTCTGATTTTGATCTGGTCTATGAACCCATCAGTCCCTGTACCAAACTTCTTTCTATATCACGGAATCAGTGATAAATACCTTCCATGCGCACATTGAAAAGGCAGGTCACACGCTGATAAATCCTGAATTAGGTGCTTGCATTCCTCCACGGTAAGTTGCTCCCCAAACTTGACTGCACCTGTAGAAATAAGCCACCATATACCAATCCTTATAACTATGTTTAATAGAAATAGGAACTTCAAGTTGTCCCACACACTTTCTAATAATAAGATTAACAGTGGATTCCACAGAGTGGCTCTTCTTCCACTGGATTCCAATTGGAATTTAGAAGTTGATTTTTACACGAGGTATTTCTCACCATGACAAGCCTGTGAACTAAGCACACGTAAGATTGTCTTTGGTATTGGTGGTGCGACTCCACTAGTCTGTCTCATGTGCTGAAAAACATATACAAAGGGAAGAAATGAATGAATACTAGTTATTGCTTTATGTCGCCAAAAATGAGTTGTGCACTCGTCGAGATAATATAACGTTTTTTTTAAATAAAGAAAAGAATAAATTAAGGAAATAGAGAGGAAAAGAAGGAAAGCAAACAACCAAACATACAAAAACAAAAAAATAGAAAACAGGTTTTAGGGTAAATCGCTTTTATGAATAAGTTTTGAGATAATGCAGTCGCTCAAATTATTTACTTCAGTAATCTTCGAGGGCGGAAAAAGTTGGAATAATATTCTTGAAGCTGTAGTTACTTTTTTAYTAGGAACAAAAATGAGTTTCTAACAGATCTTTGTGATGCTTTACATTCTGTGATAGACTAGACCACGGCCTATCATTGGATTTGGAAATCCTCGAAGTGTCAGACGAGATGTCCTCAAGTACCAGTCAGACGATCAAGATGAAGATCTACGCATTGGAACTGCTAAAACCTCTCGAAGTCTGGGTATTAATCAAATTTATGAAGATTTATAATCCCGATGTCGGCTACATAAATCGCAATAGCATGTTGAGCTGCGGTGGTGATAAGCAATAACAAATTTTTAAGCGCGCCTCAAAAAGGAAACGAAAAAAAAAGAGACGTAGATAACTTCGTGTGGCGCGATTAATCTCGCGGGAAGAAAGACAGCAAGGCCTTCGAGATTTTCTATTTCCGACCAAAAGGATTCGTTTGACCTCATGACGTCAGTAACATCACCACACCCCAAAGAACGCGACCCTTTTATCGCTGGATTCAAGGGTTATACTTAGAGAAGTAAAAATATTCTAAAATAACGACCATCTGGTGATGTGTGTAGACAAATAGACTACTCGTCAAGGGAGAAAAGAGAGATCATGTCGAATGGAGTGATAATGTGGCTCGTCAAGTTCTTAAATTCATTTTATTAAAATCAATCATATTTTTTAAATGAGAGTGGGCAGCAACAGAGGCGAGGAGAGGATAGCTTTCAAAGGAGTTGACTCACCTCGACATGGCTTTGAATGAGCTCCTACAAGATACAAAATGCCTCGTGTCATACAATATTTGACATGTTAAAAATATTAGTTATTTTTAGCGTCCCATAGAATGTTTGATGTTAACGAGACGTGTGATTAAACAGGAGGGTAAAGTATATATTTTTTGATATATTCTAACCCCACTTCACTTTGAATCAAGAAATCACAAGCTCCCAGGGGGGGGGGGAGGGGGGGCAGGTTTTTATTTTTCACTGATCAATTTTCACAGGCTTCATGACCCCTCAAACTTGCAGTGACGTCATTTCTACATCACTAATTTCAGATCAACTGGGTTTAGTAATAACCACATATGTCTTTGGTATAGCATAATGTTTAAAAGGCAGTACGGAGTTATTAGTGGGTCGATGAATATTTCGTTTTAAGGGAGCATTATCACTCTTTGTCTAGAGCAAAAACATTTCCAACCTCTAAAGTGTGATCTATGAGTTCTGAATTCTGGATTCTGAGAGAGTTGTTACTTTGGATTGAWGGATTGGAATGGACTGGACTGGAATTCGGTTGATTGAATCTTGAATCACGAAAAAAAAATGTCTTCTAATTTCTAGCTTTTAAAAGATTAAAGATAATCTCAATGCATAGTAAAAACATGTCCAGCCTCAAAAAATCGATTTATGCTGCTAGATTCCGAGATTTTTTATTTTGGAAAATCAGGAACCGGCCATGGTGGGACTGGACTGGACTACGGATTACTGGATCGTGGATCGAAAAATTCCTTTTAACGTTAAATTTCTAGCTCTTATCCTATGATTCTTATTTTAACGACCTTAATTAGTTTATTAATTAGACCTTAATTTCATGCTGAAATATTGCAAAAAATCAAGATTTTTAACCATAAAAGCGGTGTCATTCACCGTTCTCTCCGCCATCTTGAAAGGTAACCGTGACTCTGTATCGAAGTGAGGACGGCAGTGACCTGTGAATAATTGTTCGAGGTGATAAGAAAGGTCTCAATCATTGCAAGGTAACCGCCATCCTCACTTCGATGCGCAGTCACGGTTACCTTCCAAGATTGCGCGGGGAAGGGTAAAGGGGACTATTGGAAAACATGCTGTACGCGTACCCATACCGGTCCTAGGTATTTCAATGATGATTGTTTCGAAGGACGTGATTGTCGTTCAAGAAAATTTCAAAGGACAAAGAAAAAATTTAGGTATTCAAAAGTTACAAATTGAGGCAAGGAAAAAAAGAACACCGCTAGACAAGTTTTACCTTTACAATGCTGACAGCCACCGAGGGTCTTCTTCGTCGGGTCTCGGAAACCTCTCGGTCCACGAAGGGGCTGGGCAGTTCGTGAACGATCACGCGCGACTCGTCCGAATCCATATCGGAACCAATCACAAAGCGTACGCCAACACGCGCTAATTCGCTTCGAAAACGCTTGAGTAGGAGGAGTTCTTGGGAGGTGAATTCGAGTTCCACTGAAGGAGAGACGGTGGATGCTTTAAGACGAGGTTGATTGATTTGGTTTGCCTCGCTCACACAGAGATCTGGATAATACGAGCATATTTGTTGTTACATTCAATGTGGGAAAGTCATGAAGTAAAACTTAATTCATAAAACAAAGACACATAGTTATAGGTGTCCTTGGAGTAAATACCAGAGGTCCAAGGGGAAAATGAGGAAGAAAAAACTCCCTATTCTTAGAACCTATCCCTCATCATACTCTAACTCTAACCCTTGTATTAGTGCGGAGTATATACCAGAGGGCCAAGAGTCCAAGAGGGAAACGAGGAAGAAAGGGAGAAATCCTGTGCATGTCCTTCATCATTCCCTCTTGATCTCCAGTCCCCGATCAGGAACACAGGTAATCCAATGCAAAGATATGCACAAGATACTAAAATATAGCTAACACTCAACGTTATACACCAAGGTACTCACCATCGATCAGTTTTTCTAATCGAATTCTTTCGTGCACTGCATGCTGGTCCAACAACACAATTAAATAATCGCCCTCCTCCTCTGGAAATGTCAAAGAAAACGTTTATCTTTACAAAGACAGTTAATGTAACACATCAAAGAAAGTGTGAGAGATATTCAAACTTACCATTTTTAGTGTCGGCATCCTTATCACTCTCATCTTGAGGCGGACGTAGTACGCGACATACGATAAATTTGTCGTCCACTTGTCGTATGACCTGTAAGTCTTTGACCATGGCCTTTGTGAATCGATATGGATGAATAGATCTGTATGCACGCACTTCGTTCCCCGTACCCTTTGTAGGCTTGGACAGGCTTGTTATGTCCTGAAAAGAAATCATCAAAACGATAAATACACATCAATCGTTCAGGTATAGAACTGTTTAGCAAATGTCGTACAGTGGGACCATCTTCTTATTCATTCAAATCATGGGTGACGTACGTAGCGCTAGTGCACTCTTCTCTCACTTCTGGAGTCTCGAGTTAAATTCCTTGGCTCCGCATCACATTTAAGCAGAGTTTGTTGGGTCTCTCCCCTGACCTGAGGGCTTTTCTCCAGGTTCTCCGGTTTTTCTCTCCCCGCAAAGCCTAACAAGCAAACTTTCAATCCCATCTGTAAGTTAGCCGTGCCCTGACTTTGATCAGCCCAGAGGTTGTTTTAGGGTAACGATAAAATGCGAAGTCCCTGCCGCCAAATTCCCAGTTGCGTCCCTCTCTCCTCCAAGAAATCCCCACTGAACACCTCAATAATTAAACTAAAATAATTATTTGGATGCAGAGATTGGGTCAGTTTGTTGGCACTAATAAACGCAAACATCCCAAAAGGTCATGTGATCATTTAGTCCATGTTCTCTGATTGGCTCTAATGATATTGAACCTTACCATTCCAGGCAATGAACTAAACACAGGGTTGTCCCACTCATCGAACATCAGAGAAACAATACCCTCACTACCCCTCACAGGCTTTTCTGTCTTTGACTTCTCATCGAGGTCGGGGATTGACGATGAAGGGACAGAATCTGTATAAGATTAAAAATCCATTTAGAGATATTTCAAATATTTCTTTCCCTCCATTCCTTTTCTCTTAGATCGCTCCATTCATTTTTTGCCACCTTCATCTTTACTTCTCCTCCTCCCATTCAATCCATTCTTTAAATCAATCAATCTCAATCATTCATTCAATCTCATTCACTTTTTCCGTTTTCTCTTCCATCTTTCTTCTCATCCAATCTTTCATTCATTGTCTTTTCCTTTTCTTTCTTACCTTTTATTTCACATTCCTTTTGATTGCTTCCTGTCGTCCTCATTCTGTTCTTACGAGGCAGCCATGGGGTACAGTCAAACGAGACATGCGGGGCGCAACTCAGAGGACCCCTACTCCTTGTCTCCAACCTACCCTCCAGACTACACTCCTCCTCCTTCTTCTTGTGTTCATCACTATTATTAAGTCCTTCGGGACAATCATATGAGGTATTTCCTGTTCTCAGATTAATATATAACTTCCTCTGTAGGTTTACATCATAGGTACACTGCCAGTTTTCAAGTGGGTCATCATTATTTTCATGTCCAAAAGAAATCTTTTCACCCTGTTTATATAGCTCGTTTTCATTTCCATTGGGATCCTTCGGTGCCTTAGAAGTACCAGCTTCACGACCAATACCACGAGGTGCCACACCCACTTCACAAGTGGATTCCTCTTCATCCTGTATCTTGTCTACAATTATATTGACAGTCCTGACACTTGTATTCTTGTCATCTGGAGCACTAGTTTCATTTTCTTTTGTATAGGTTCCCTGTGGAATTATATTCTCACTAAAACACGACGTATTGTCTGCTTTGTTTGCTTCGGATGATTCTCTTTCAGTGTAGTTATCACGATCTAATAAGTCTATTAAATCTAATGGTGCTTCTTTAACTCCTTGCTGTTGCAAATTACTCTTAGACGGCGTAGAGGCAAACTTTTCTCTTAACGATTCCATACCATCCAATCCACTAACTTGCTCATTCGTCCCATTGTCATTACGATTGTCTTGGGAAAAGCTTCCATAAAAATTCGCGATATCTTGAGTCAAAATATTAGGTGGCAAGTTATTAAAGCTGTTAGTTGTGTTACCTTGGAATGTCGTATTTTCAATATTACTGATTCTACTCACTTTCTTAGATCTATCGAGTGCGAAACGATTCAATAAAGTACAACTATTAGTATTTATCCCTTTCGAGCGGGCGTCGGTGTGGAATCTCTTTCTAGCTCCTCTAGGTTGAAGGGTTATTGGATTCGGAGAATTAAAACAGCTTTTGGAATGAGTTCTGGTATTAGATGTGTCAGACGTCCTCAAAAATAGCTGTGCTCTATTGCGCAGTGGATTCTCAATTTCCTGCTCATTTGCCACTCCGAGAGTGGATATTTTAATTCCAGATTCTGAACAACATTCTTTCGCTTGCTCGACACTTTTCTCGTAGGCTATTCGTATATCTAAAACCTTTTTAGGACGAGTATTAGGCAAACCTTTAACATTATGAGATGAATTATTTAAATCCTTCGAGCATTTCTCTGCAGTATCTGTAAGTTTCATTTCACGTCCACCTTCCTGGTTGTGAAGATTGTCGCCGCTTCTGTTCTCTGCGCTACAAAGCTGAGTTGATTTTCTATGCACAACTGAAGATTGTAAGCTCTTTCTGATATTACTAGGGCTGATACATTGASTGTGTTTGTTACTATCCGTCGCAGTTGTTTGGTATTCATAGACACTCAGATCAACTTGGCTGTCACTAGAATCCTCTGCCTGGCTGCCATTCTCATTCTCAACTACATCTTCAGTTTGTTCCCCTGGAAGTATTAAATTTTCCCTCTCGAGGAATGACTCAATATAGCCCTGCACACAAGATAAAATTCCATCCCAGTCTTGGAATTCCACCAGCGTCTTGGCTGGCTCTAATGTAATGTCATAATCCGTCAAGGGGCAGCTGATATTCATGATGAATATGGGATACTTTTCGGAGCCTTGCCTTGGAGGGGACCTGTGTTGCCCTAACCTCACATCTCCATCGTTACAAGGCAGTGCCAGTCTCTTCAACAACAAAGACCTGGCTAAGAGTCGATTAACAAGTTTATGAATCTTAGTTTTTAATAGTAAACGACTATTAACGTACACAAACTGGAGATTTTTATTGTGATGCGTCTCTAATCCAACGTAGCCGGAGATCCTAAAGCTTCTTTCTTGAAAGCGAATTTCTCGCAAGCTCTTGGCTTTCAAGTTGCCAAACAACTGAGAAAATGTGGAAACCGTAGATTGACTTTTGTGAGTTTGAAGGCATTTTTGACCAGAAGCATCATTATAGAGAGAAAATGAAACACTTGGGTTGATGAGGGCAATGCTGGTTAGTCTCTGGCGCATTCTCTCTAAGTCAAACACATCGGAGACAAGCTTTCGTCTAACAGGAAGAGAAGAAAACAAGTCGTATGCGCTGACAGTTGTCCCAACATTTGAGCGAGGGAGGCACGATTCCGTCACCTTTAGTGCTTTGCCATTTCGGAAAATCTTACAATACGTTTTGAAGGACGATTTATGTCGTGTAACGACTTCCAAGATCCCAGCGATGTCGCAAATACTGGCCAATGCTTCTCCTCGAAAGCCATAAGACTTCAGCTCGCTCAAATCCTCCAGAGAATGACATTTACTGGTTGCGTATCTCTCTCCTAGAAGTTCGAGGTCATCTTTAGATATTCCGCAGCCATTATCAATGACTTGGAGACGAAATGAAGGAATATCGACGCGAACAGAGACACAAGTTGAACCTGCATCTAAACTGTTCACCACCAACTCATCCAGACATTGTGTCAGGTTTGACACGGCAATACCTGACCTGAGAAGAGAACGCACATCTGCGTCTAAAGAACGGATCATAATGACCCCACAGACCCATCTAAATGCTTGGAAACTTTAGTTGTTTGGAGAAAATTGCATTTTTTCTGAAGCTGACGAGTGGACAAGTATTTTGAAAATCGCCCGCCATTTTGTTTTGATTCCCATAATGCATCGCTGGACTAGACATTAGGAGCCCGTGGTATCTGGCAGTCAGCTGTTTTGCGTCGTCGCCATTTTGAAAATTTTCCATGTGCAGAAAGATGAGTAAACACTGATACAGAGATACTGGAAATATTCAAGATCTGGATGATCTATTGCGTTGATAGTCAAAACACTGTCTCTTCAAGATAATCCTTTATAAGTAGGTATTTTCTGTTGATCGATTTTTTAGTTTCTTATTTTAAAAAATGTATTTTATTCTTCAAAAAATTGACTTTTTTAAGCCGATATTTTGCATATCCTTTCGGGTTTTTGTTCTTAGTAATGATATTCATGCCTATTTTTTAGATTAGCAGCTGTTATTTTTCCCATCGTTTTGTCTTGCTTTTTGAAGTATTCACTATAATGGATCAGAAATTCTCCTTCACAACTCCTGACACATTTGATTTATAGCCCCAGTTTTAGTCTCGTTGTCTCGTTTTCTGAGCACTAATTCATATATTCATTAACACCATAAATCATTAGACCTGTAGACCTTAGGACTGGAGTTTGAATTGGAGGGATTAAACAGTGAAGTGGATGGACACCAAATTTATAGAAACAGAAAAAAAAAGCATTGTCCTCTTTACATCCAAGGGCATAATCTTTTCTCACCTCTAAGCTGAGGTCATTCCCTTCAGTACTATGTCTTTGTCAGTGGGTGTGCATAACAAGACACATAAATATAGATACAGCTCAAACTTAATCATATTATTCTCAAGAGAATGACGTGGTCTGGAATGGGAAAACATTATGCCCGAGCTGAATATTTTTATTAGAGGTGAATTGTAGTATTGAAATGAGCATTGAGTTTTAAAAACGTAAAAGATATAGAAACAGAGGTATATTGTGTAGTTACTGGGGTGCCTGTGATGGGTGCCTGTGATCACTCTCTTCTCATCTGCAGTATGTTTGTACATGCATAGTTTTTGGGGRAAGCGAGGGAAGGAATGATTTGTTTATAAAAAATAATACTTTTCTTTTTTTACATGTTATCTTTCAAGTGGCAAAAGCCAAAGCAAAGTAAGTATTTGATACTCGCATACATCTTTAACACAAGATCATTACAATGTAAATGAAGTTAGAATTTGTACTAGTGTTATTTGCATCATATTTCAGAACCCTTATAGTCAGACTAGTGAGCATGGCAGGTACTGGCTATTTCTACACTATGAGAAGAAACAGGTTCAAAGACAAGTTACAGTTAATGAAATATGATCCAGTTGGTAAGGGATGAGCACCTATCTTTGTTAAAATTCCAAATTTTATGAACACCTTGTTTCTGAAACAACCTCTAGTTTGCTAAAAGTCAGGGCATGGATAACTCACAGATCTAGCCCTGAAATATACTCTGAGCTGATCTAAGCCAGGGCATGTATAATTCACAGATCTAGCCCTGAAATAAGCCCTGTGCTGATCAAGGTCAGGGCTCAGCTGGATCAAACCGTGAAATGACCCCTGGGCTGATCTTAGTCAGGCTACACCTAACTGTCTCACAGATCAAATAAGCCTTTTCATAGTTTAAGAATCGATTCCACTGCGCATGCGATTTTATCCTGAATTTCTCACCTTTTTTAAAAATTAAGAACAAAAGGTTTAGACAAAAGAAGGTGAGAAATTCGGGATAAAATCGCATGCGCAGTGGAGTCGATTCTTAAACTATGAAAAGGCTTATTGAATTGCGTTGAGTTTTGTGGAGGGGGTAAAGCTGAAGAACCTAAATAAAAACCCTTGAATCAAGGGAGAAACCCAACTAAATCTTTTCACATGGAATATCAAGTACAGGAATCAAACCCAACACCACAGAGGGTTATAAGCCATGTACACTATTGATATGCCTGTTTTGATTCTAATTTTATCATTGGATCTAAAAATAAAAGAATTCTTGACAAACGAAAAAAATGAATGTCATTATCGATGGCTAACTTGTTGTCGTATTTGTGTTTCAGTGAAGCAGCATGTATTATTCTCTGAACAGAAAATCAAGAAAGGGAAATGAAAATATGGGAAATGGGAAATGAAAGAAGATTGTTGATGGTGGATATGATCAAGATACAAACTGTGGAAATTGAATTATGGACAACTTGCAACAAAATATAGGGTTGGAATTTACGTTAAAAATGCACAACTTGTACAATATTTTTAATTGCTGTCAAGTCGCATATCGTGATTATGTAACATCTAAGCAACAGTAAATACCAATGTGCATTCAGCATGGAATATACTGAAAGCCTGAATTGTAAAATAAAGAGACTGAGTATTCTTTGGTACAAAAATTTCTTAGTTTACAAATAATACACTATTTGTAATCATGATATTCATGTCTCTTTCCTCTGAGAGAGATTTGAAAATTTCAGTGTTTTTATGTTGTTTAAACTCCATTTGGAATTTTTTTTTTGTTATCTTAGCATGAATACAATCCATACTGGTTTTTTTGGCAGTTCAGTTTATAAATCTCTGACTACAGAAGATCTCTCTTGCAAGCAGGTTACTTTTTCTTTCTCTTTTAAAGCACATGGAAGGAATGATGATAATAATAATAATTTAGGGAAAAAAACAGGCAAACTTAACATGTCACTACATAGATGTTTATGTTTCTACAGCTTGATGGATGGCCAAACCCCTTGCCCCCTGCACATCTGTCACACCTCTTCCCAACAACAGTATTAAAACAATATTTTGACGATTTCTTTTTATTTTGTAATCAACTAAACATAGTTCTCAATTCTCTTCTATGCTTGCTATCCTGACTTACTCACCTAGATCATCAATTTGGGAATAAAATTTCTCATTTTTGTTATATAACTGTACACAGAACACTATTCACCACGTGGTCGGCAATACGCCACAATATAATGACRTTTAACACCCACAGATACAAGCACTAAACTACTGGAATTTTTTCTCTTTTTTTTTGGGAGAAGAAAGGCACAGCCATTACAACCCCCGTTTTGTGAGAGAAATTTGGCTACAGAAAACGAAAAGGGCCATGTTAAAGGTTTTTGCAAAACCGTCCAATTAATGTTGGTCCGTTGCCTTTTTTGCAAAACACCTGTGACCTTTTATATTTTGTGCAGCACATTTCAGTATTACTAAGTCCTGAAGTAGCTTTGCTTGTATGATTGATTAAAACTACCTACTGTATGTCAAAGAGTAACTACCTTTGAGTGTTGTAGAACACATATTTATCACCAATAATAACAATAGCTTTAAGCTGATACAATTTCCCTAATTTGTTTAAGATAGATTTTTTATTTTAGTTGCTTTTTAGTTGGGTTTTGTGTGTTTGAGACAGGAAAGGCAAGGCACAGCCAAGCACATTCCTTGGATTTAGATCTTTTTTTTTTTTTTGCACACTAAAACCTAAATATGAAGTTTCCCTAACTTTACCCTGCACACTTTTATTACATAATTATATATATATTTTATTTAACTATTGACTTGTATTCATTTTGGGGGTTACATTTTTGCTCTTTCATTTTTGATTCTATCCTCAACTTGACTCCTATGCGAAGCTCCAATAAAGAGCTGACAAAAATGGCCCCAATAATTATGATTATATTAGACTCAATTCATTTTGCAGCATGTTTTCCATTTCAGACCATGTCATTCCCTTGAGAATAGGATTCTTTGCTTGAATTTCATCCATATCATGTCTACTCAAGGTTTCTTGGTAACAAAGACATATCAACAAAATACTCAAGGAAATAATATGTGATCTGAAAAACAAAAACATTGCACTGGTTCTATTCTCTAACCTCTATTATTAGCCTTTTGCAAGAGTTGAATTTTGTAAGCCCATAAGAAAAACTGCAAATTGAGCCTCCAAAATTGCCTATGTTTTCAATCATTGGTATGTGCTGAGAGACAAAAGTCACAACAGGTTGATTGGCAATAGACAACCATCAATCTCATAAATCATTCCCTTATACTTTCTAACAGTTCCATGTACCTTTACATATTTTGATGATAACATGTACATTCAATTGAGATTACTCTACAGCTGAACTTAAAGTTCATAAAAATTGCAATATTGGGATGATAATGTTCCAGCCATTAATTTTTAACAATAGGTTTTTTCACTTTGTTTTGACTTGGATTATCCAATCGATTTCTGGTTTGCAATTTAAATGACAATCAATCAAAACAAATTTCATCATTGTACGACCATCTATTGTGCATTAACCCATTTCTCATTCAGCACATAGCAATGGAAACAGTGGTAAAAATCTTGCATTATGCATTCATCGCCACAGGTATACCATCCCAACATCTCGGCAAGCTAACTTGCCCCATTTGATATCTTCCTCATAATAGGGCCATATTCTTTGTACTTGATATGTACATTACTATACTTTATAACACAAATATCTAAAGATGTAATATTCACTCATATTTGTATACAAGTTGCCAATTAACGTAACAATGCCAAAGAGAAAACGTTTTGGCCTTAATAATTCTGTGAACGGCATTGGTTGATGCCAGTTGCATTTAGAAACATTTTGGCTGAAGTGATTTGGAAATGTTTAGATTTTCTAAGATGAAATAATAGTTGTTAATTAATTAGTTGTCCCTTTTCCATTTACATAAATTGTTTTTTAAAATAGAATTAAATCAAGACCTAAAATGCTGGCCTTTGAATATACTCAAATCAAGGAAAGTTAGAGGACAAAATAGTGGTAAAGCAGCTGTAACTTTATGATTCTGGAATTCAGTTTTCACTTCATTCTAAATGCACATTTGAAAACCTACATTGATTCATCGTATTGATTTGTTGTCTGAAGAATTAGTATTTGAGAAGAAAGAGGGTGGTAGGCTGTCTCGGGTTGGGAAGCTTGTTTGTGTTCCACGTTTAAATACTGTTGTCCTGGCCACTTCATTTGATCTACGAACCATTTCTTGGAAGGATAGATTCTTGAATTTGGCCAGGTAAAAAGCTAAAGCTCCAATAAATGCATCACCAGCTCCCTGGAAAACGAATTTTGGATTGGTTCATATCTTTATATTCATTGCATCACTTTTGTTTCAATGTAYCCTGGACTCAAAGGACAACTTTGAGGAAGTCAGGGTGGCATATCCATAGCAGTAAGTCCTCTCACTTCTAGGGTCTCAGGTTTGATTTCTGGACTCGTCTTCATAAAATTAATGTTAGTAGAGTTTGTAATGTCTTTTTTTTGATTCAAGGGTTTTCCTTCCTCTGCAAAACCACACTAACTTCCAATTTCATCCATGAGTTAGCAGTGCACTGACTCAGATCAGCCAAGAGGTTGTTTTGGGTTATGGATACAATGTTTTATTGCATCTGAACTGACAAAGACTCAAAATACTTGGACGCACAAAGGATCATGCATGGGGCCCCAGTTCAAAGCAGATAATGTATGCATGTTGCAGTTGTAAAAATGTTAAAGGACTATATACGATTATCGTTACAGGGAGGGGGCAGATCCAGGATTTTTCTAGGAGGGGTACACTGGGGTACACAAGGAAGATTTTTCATTTTAGGAAGGTGCACCCTTTGCTCGTAAACTCAAACACTAATAAAGCAGATATCATCTTGTCTAGGGGGAGGAGGGGGGGGTGGGTGTGCTCCCCCTGCACCCCTACCCTAGATCCACCCCTGCAGGAGATATACATACTGTGGTATCAGTAGCCTCTACTGGGGTGACAGGAATGTGCTGTGGTATTGGGTTTTCTTGGGTTCCAATGACGGAGCCCTTTGCACCCAATGTTATCACAACTTTGCCAGCACCACGTTCCAGCAACATCACCACCACCTTCTCTGCATCGTCAATGGACTTTACTGGGATGCCTGTTAGGAGCTCAGCCTAAAGAAGGATAAAAGAGATGGTATGTGTGAGTGAACAAATAAAACCAAGGGAAACGAATGAAAATGAAAAAAGCAGAAGGAAAAGAAAGAAGAAAAGAAAAGAAAAAGAAGGAAGGAAAACTTAAAAGAAAGAAAAATGTAAACACTGCTATCATGGTATCATTCTATATAACTTTACACTTTTCAATAATAAGCGCATCTAAAAAGCAATTAAATTTGCTGGTAGTTGGAACAATATGCAAAGCACAAAGACTTCAAAATATGAAAATGTTACCCCTCCTCTTAATGCTTTATAAATTTTCTATGTCTATAGGAACCACGAACTGAGAATAATGAAAAAAAGGAATCCAACAAAGGTGAAAAATGTTAATAAGTAATCTACTTACTTCACTTTCATTTGCACAAAAGATGTCACTGAGCCTATAAAATTGAATATCAAGCCAGGGGGAGGCTGGTGCAGGGTTAAATACAGTGGTCACTGTCAATCAAAACAACCAAGGTGTCAATGAATGAATAATCTTGAAACAGCATAAATTTCGAGGCCTCCCTTCTCAATAAAAAATAGAATGCCTTTAATACCGTTAATTTAAACTGATTTCACTGACAGAATAATTCTTACGCACTCTCATAGAGTGCAAAAACTATATCTGTGAAAGCGTATACGTATTAGGCAATAGACCTAATTCACCCCTCATTCCCTAGAGTATCATTTCTTTATTTAACGGCTGCCCATAAGAAGACACATGAATATGATCCAAATTACACCAAGCCAAATTATGCCTATTAGTATTAGATAACACTGATGAAACAATAGATATTGCACTTCATTTAAAGCAAAATAAATTTAGTACTGTTTCAGAGTGTGTGCATTCTAACAGCCCACTACTGAGATATGCTTCACTCGTCACGCACAAAGGATTTAATGTGAGGCTTTGTGCATAATGCTCAGTGATTTGTGACAGGAGGAAAGAATTAATTTTATTTAACTTGTAGCCTTGTACTGAAACCTTACTCACTGTAACCTACACTCACCTATAAGTAACAAACAAAACATATCTTGCAAGTGGGCTATTCTACTGACCTACCATTTGCATTTTTCGCCAAGGCCAGAGCCAGTTGAGTAATCTGAGGTTGGATTTCCAGCTGACAAACAACAACCGCAGAAGAGACAATGGCTGACCTTGCTCTTTTGATATCAGCATCTTCTAAGTACTCATTAGCGCCACTTACTATTGTGATGGAATTTTCACCTAGAACCACGAAAAACCAAACATTTTTGTTTTTTTCCCTCCTTGTGTTTATGAGGGTAGCACTTCATAGCCAGTGGCTATTAAACTTATGGCCTTCATTCTATGACTATATTGGGATTTAGAGGTTGGTTTTTGTAGGGGTTGGGGTAGGGGTGGGGGTGGGGGTTTGAAAACCTGGGAAAATACCCTTGAAGGACAGGAGAGAACCAATAAGCAACTCTACTCACTTCCGATGGCTAGTGGCTAGTCCAGGGAATGAACCCATGAGCAGAAGTGAGAGGCAGCACACATTAGCAGCGGCCACTACCCATGCCTTCCATTTAGAATCACACTAGCAGAATCATAAAAATCTGCTGTTGTGCAAATCGAATAAGTTCTTCTGACTAATAATTATAGTACTTTCAATGGTTCAATTAAGGTTAGTAAATTATTGTCTGGTCAGTTTAATAAATAAATAAAAATAAATTAACTTTGTTTATAGAGGATAACACTTGACATTAATTCAACTGATAAACTTGTGGTCCTCTGTTAACGTCTCTAGTTAATTAGGGACGGGACCGCCATTAACTTGATCATCYGAGCCACGTGCAGGTCTAACCATTTGCAGATGTAATTACAAAGGCAGCACCTTCTCCTCAGTTATTTTAAGACCCTGAGTGTTGGTCCGGCCAAGGCTTGAACAACGACCTCCCGCACAACAGACCAATGCTCTTACCAATTGAGCTAACTGAGTGGCGGCTAAATAATACCTCAATATTAACCAGCCAAAAGCTAATAACCATAAGATTAATCTGCTTTGCCATCACAAATGCTTTCAAACCTTCAAGCAATCTCTAACCTGGTCTATATAAGGGCAGGGCTAAAACATGGATCAAAGTACAATTTTGTGCATTGGATTTTGTCTCTGGGAAACCCATCTCAGAGAAAACCCCTAAAGAATCAAGCTCTGTTCATATGTGATATTGAGTTCATGGCAAAGAATTGAATCCAAAATCCCTACAAACTTCTCAGCCATGTGGCCATAAGCAGATCACATGAACCCTTTAAGGGAGCAGTTTCCATGATTTATTAGTATATTAATTATCAAATAGCTTATTATTATTAATTTTGTTATTTTTAGCATCATTAATTTTACATGGTAAATAAATAAAAAAATAAACAAACAAACAAACAAATAAATAGAGGATATTACATGGCCGCACTTGGAGATACGAAATTTATCTTCGAGTGTTGAAAAGATCTCTCACAAGTGAGCGCAGCAAATGAGTGAGAGATTTTCAACACGAGAAGATAAAATTCTTATCTCCAAGCGCAGCCATGTAATATTCTGTTTATTATATAATTATAATAATATAATAATAATTATAGTATTTTTGAATAATGTAGCCATCGCAATGGTGTTATTTTCACATGTGAAAATAACATGTTATTTTCACGTGTGAAGATATCAATTTTTCGAAATAGAGAAAAATAGATATTTCATCGGTAATTATATAATAAATACACTGTAACATCCTTAATTCACTAACATCCTAAAATAATGTTTTTAATGTCACCTGAACTATTTACAGATATAGGTGCTACTCCAGTAAATGCTTGAGTTGTTGTAGAGACATTGTCTGAAATAAGGGATCAGATTTTTCTAATTAAAGAAATAATAATGATAATAATAATAATAATAATAATAGGTATCATAATCATCCTTATCACCATCATTGTCACCTGGGCAACCATATTTTGAAATCCAGTTGTCAAATTGAAAACTTCCAACTTTGCTAATTTCAGACATTCATCACCATCACCACGACTACCTCAGTCTCCTCCTCTTGATCACCAATGTCATCATCATCAACAAAATCGTTATCAATACCATTATTGATATCTATCCATCACTATCACTGCCATCATCATCCTTTTTCATTCCAATTCGGCCTACTTTTCTCACATAATGTACACAACACCATGGCCACTACACCTTATTTTTATGCAAAAAAGTCTAAAGTCACAAGTTGGATTTTAAATGTGTCTCCAACATTTCAACAAACACATTAACTTTAAGATCTTATATTGAAAATGCAGTGATAAGCATTACAACTAAAGGATTAAAAGGTCTGGCAACATAATAGCAAGAGACAAGAGTTCTATTTTCCTCCATGGCTATAACAGCTGGTTCATACTCACCAACATTAACTTTGTTATGCTTAAAGTTTTGAATATGATTACGACCAAACGTATCGTCTCCAACCTAGTAAATTAAACATAAAAAGGAAGGAATAAATATGAGAGAATTCAAGTGAAATAACTTACGCAGGATAAAAAAATACATAAATATAAATATATATGTAAAAAAAAAACAAATGAATATATAAATGGAGAAAAAAAGTACCAGACACAGCCTGATTGGAATTCCCCTCTGAATGAAAAGAGTTAATAGATTAAGAGAGATAATTTAAGTGGAGTATGATGATGGATTAAGGATGGACGATGATTAGTGGAAATGAGTTTTGACAAGTGCTTTGATGAATTACTTTTTCAAGGGATCAAAGTAAAACACTATTTGTAATGATGAATTGATTTGTTTTGCACTTTTCAGGATTTAAGACACATTTATCAGAAGAAATAATGTAGTTTAAATCTTCACCATATGCTCGAGGTATGCTTTTAGCAAATTAAATGGGATCGAAAAAAGTGAGCTCAAGACGTGTTAGATTTACGGCAGCTAGTAACTGTGAATTAATTATCCCCATGATCTTTTTCGGTCTAGGCTCGTAGGGATGAAGCCAATCAAACGACAACGTTTAGTCAAAGGACTGTATACAAAAAAGGGAAAAAGCTATCATAAATAAATCACAAGTGCTTCACCAATAATAAATGACAAGCCAGGAGGCAGTGATGAATTATAAATGTCTATTTTAATGGTATTGAATATCGTACAAATATGTCTTTCCAATGGATACATTTCTACTCTTTTCATAAACATGCAAACTCTGTAGCTGAAATTTGGTTTTTTGCTGCCGTTAATCAAAAATAATCAGTCTGTAGGTCCTTTCATTTTTTTGACTGGCAGCAGCAAAAAACCAAATTTAGCTTGCGACTACAGAGTTCACATGTTTATCAAAAGAGCAGTAGGTTCTAAATGGATACAAGAAAATAAGGAATTCAAGAGGAATTAAATTTAGATAGTTTGACACTCTAAAAACCCTGTAACTGGAGAGAAGGGTCCATCTGTCTCTATRGGTAAAAAATATTTTCTTTAACTACAAATTACTATTCTATTATACATGGAATAAATATACCTAACCTTTGAGCAATCTTGATGTAATTTTGTTTTGAAGTTATAGCTATATACTAAAGTAAAAGGACTGTGTAATGCTATACTTAAAACTGTACAATTTTTGGAAACAACTCATGGCAAAACTGCTTCTTTGCATGTGGTAGATTGTCAAGGTAAAGAGTTCATAATTTCTGTTGACAATCATAATAGCCATTATCCAATCACGTATGGCTTAGTTGAGTAAATTTACAGATGTTTGCCTTGTTTGTGTACTAGTGTTTATGCAATACCTTGCATACTCTTGTATGACAGTACAAAAGAGTGTGATAAAGTGACTGATAACATTCATATTATTTTAGGAATATCGATGAAAAACTCTGACAAAGTCACAGCCCTTTCGGTATTTGCAGAATATTTGAATTTGTGACCTTTTCTTTCTTGTCAAAGACAAACTGTTCACTATTCATAAATCTTAAGTCAACATTTAAATCCATTTGTCAATATTTAGAAACTGTCTCCTACATCAATAAGAGAATAGATTGTCAGTTGAACTGCAAGGAAAGGTTGCTACGATAAAATATGATAAAGTATTGACTTTGAGAGTCTGGCTTATCATTAGTTCTGGGTAGATTGGACCAAAATGTGGAACTGAGATAAATAAGTTGCATTGCAATGGTACAGAGGTGCTAGTTTTAATTGTGGAGACAAATTTGTTCAAGTTGATTACTAGAAATCCTGAGAACTTTATTAGTCTTGAGAACTTTTTATTATTATTTTTTTWAAATTTTATTTCATTATTTTTTTTTTTTTAGTCTTGAGAACTTGGGAAAGAGTTTTTTTGGATTTATTGGAAAGAGTTAAAAAAAACTGAACACCCTTGAAAGCTGAATGGCTAAAATAACTAGGGTTCAAGGGTCACTAGCGTTATTTGTCACTTTCTAATATTGAATATTGTATCATGACATCACGTCAAGTGGTACGACTGCAACCTGACCACTCGACCATCCCCCCTTAGCAGTCTCTGAATGGTACCTAAATATATTAGGAATTGGTTTATCATTTTCATAGTGGATTTTGTCTATTGATATTATTGTGCAACCATAAGCCCTACTGGCTATAAAACACCCATAATGAACAAGAGCGCTAATTACTACCATTACAGGTGCGTAGCAGGGGAAGGGTCTGGGGAATTCTCCCCCTCCCCCCTCAATAATTTCAGCTGTTTTTGACATTTTAATGATTAAAAAACACGAATGTTTTCCTTCCAATTTCTTATATGTTTTGTTTCCAAAAATATTTCAATCTTTTTCATTGTCCATAGTGTCATTGCTTGGGTTTCCATTGTTGGTAGTCTGATTATGATAATTAGTATAATTTTAGACTTGAATATAGAGTTTAACGCACTGTTATTGGTTGAGCAATCAGTGATTGTGAGATGATATCCACTGCCCGAGCAGTGATTATGAGGTTCTCAAAAGTCTGCTATAGTGGAAGCAATACTAAAACTGATATTCAAATTTAATATTATATTAAAACAATTATTCACCTCAGACTCAGGGATTATTTTGAATATTTACCTCCACTCCCGACTCAGTAAATATTCACTTATATTCACTTTATCTTCAGGGAATAATTGTTAAATATCCAAAGCCGTACTTATTGTTCCACCCGAGTGTTTTTATTAATATTTTATTACAACATTATAAGAATATGGACATTAATGGAAAACTGGGAAAAGATTACAACTACATTAAAATCTGCACTTGTCATGAACTGGAGATATAATCACTATACTTCTAATATTTATATTTCACCAATATTTATCATTTTGACAAGCTTTTTAATTTGAGTCTGAAATGTTCTAATCAAGATAAACCTTGTCAAAATACATGAAATGAAATCTCTAAATGCTTGACACTTTTAAAGATTAGATAGTCTCAATATAAARTGTGAGGAAATGCCACTGAATTAATTTAGATCCAACTTTTAAATAATTACAAAGTAAAAGTTCATTGTTTTTGAACCTTAAGGTACAGGCATTTTTCATTGTAAACTGTGGAATACTCAAGACCTAGTTAAGAGTAAGAAAACTGGTGTAAAAATTGACAGTTTTAAGAAAGTAATTTAAAGCTTTCTCTATGTATTGATTATAATTTAATTAAATCATTAAAAATAATAATCATAATATTCAGCTGTGTGATTTCTACAGAGTGGCAGTCTTCCTACTGAATGCAGATGCAATTTAAAAGTTGGCTTTTATTTAATTTCATAGTGTAGGGAAGAAAACTGAAGAACCTTGAAAAAGACAGTATTTCAAGCACACAAGTAGCTCTGGCTAAATATGACAGTGAGCTCCAGAATGGAACCAGAGTGCATWGGTATAGTAATAATATTATTATTATTATGAAGCCTAAAATAAAGAATCAAGAATGAAAGCTGATAAAACATCAAATATCCTTGGGATGGCTTTTTCAAGGCAATTTTAGGTTTTCCTAGTTTTAGTCTTTATTCTATTATCTTAAGCTTTTCAACTGAAAATCTTTTAAATGTAATAGAAATACTCTCACTTGTGAGGATTTTTCCTAGCATTGTCTACCTGATCCTATTATTTCTATAGCTTCAATCATCTAGGTTTTTAATTTATCATCCAATAGAGATGTACTTTGAATAATTCAAAATTCTAATTATGTAGATTATCCCTAAGAAACAATTAATTAAGAAGATAAGAAGCAAAAGGGTAACGAAAAATCATTAAAAATAAAATTCCTTAAATTGAGATTGACTTTTCAAAATGAGGACATTTGGTAGATAGGATTAAATATTAATAGAAGGGGATGGGGCTTCAGAAAAACTCAAGAGATTCATTAAGATGGCAAGAATATTGAGAAAAATCCTTTGTATTAAGTAGATTTTAATTAAAACATTTAGAGGAAGGAAATTCAAAAACTCTCCTCTGTGTTGTATTCATCTATTCCAACTAGAATTGACAGTATCTCATTGCTGAACACTAACCTTCAGGCTAAAGCAAAAGATTAAGGCCTTTCTTTGGAATTAAATATGTAGAGTTTATGCAATTCTTTTTTTTTTCAGGTTTAGGAAATAAAATAGCAACAAAGGAAAAACGTTTTTACAGGGGAAAACAGTGTAAAAATCGTAAGACTAAAGGCTAAAATTGGTCAGTGTTGACACAGAACAGCTGTAGAGGAAGAGATTCAAGCATCTGCTTTGAATAGTAATAATCTTATAGGAATATCATAAATATTGCTTACAAGAAATCATTCTTAACTAAGGGATAAAATAAACATGTACAAATTCAAGACCACCTGGGGCAAAGGCAAAAAAAATGATTGAATTTTATAAATATTCTAATCAAATTCATCAACTGATAAAGCCCAAAATTTGAACAACATTGAAAAACCATGGAAAATTTTTTACATCAATTTTGCCACCAGTATTTTGCCAAAGTTGACAGGAAATTTTTGAATAAATGGACTGTCTCCCAGGTATGCAATAAACATTTAAAAGGAAATTATTTCTGCCTGACATAATCTCCTTTAAGGAGAAATGCTCTTCTGAATTACACCTGTTTGGAATCCACATCATTAGAGCCTTTATGGCCATGCAAAAGTGACAAAAATGAACATTGCTGTCACAATTGATGACAAACAAATAAATGCTGTAAGTAATTAATGAATCTAACAGTAAATTATTGTGGTGCTTATCAAAAAATTGGTTTTTAAAGAAGCATGTTAAGATGTTGTCCACAAGGTACATAATTTTGCTTTGGGCCTTTTTGATGGTTTTCAACTTATTAGGGGGAATTCTCCATACCATATGAGAGAAAATAATCTACAATTGCGACTGGCAATCTAGACTCTTTTTCACATATTAAGCAGTCTTTGTTCAAGAAAATTTTAAAATGTAGATATACAAGGAACATTGAAAAATACCTTGGTAATGATTTCATTATATATATTCTAACGATTCTTCCTGTTTTTGTGTAGAGGTAATAGAGTCGGTCCAATTAAAATGATTTCAGTGTTGAATGTTGATGAATACTGTTTTTCTTTACAACTGAAAACAACAGCTCTTAATAATGAAAAAGCAAATGAACAAAAAGGAATAGTTTTGGGTTAAAAGACAGTAAATTTAGCCTTAAATGAACTTCACAGCCTATAGGTCTTATAAAAGAGATTGGTCTTCATTCAGAAAAGTCTTCCTCTTTGCTCTTTCACACAACTCATCAAAACTGCACATTTATTTGACAGCCTCTTTCTACTTAAAGATATCAAATTGGCAAATTTAAGAATGATGAACTCAGGCAATGAGAACAGCTGCCTCTTACTCGAAAATATAGAATGAATGGGCGAAGAGACCCTGTGTAAATAGCTCATTGTTTACATGACAAAAACTAATAAAAATAAGTAACAAAATCGAATGGAATGCATATCAAATGTAGTTTTCAATCAACATTATCAGCTTAATTACCTTAGGTAAGGAAAGGTAACGAGTTCTTATTCCGAGTCTATCTAGCGCAGCGCATGTAGCTTATCTGTTCACTCGATAGCGTTAGGAATTTACAAGATCAACCAGAGTTCGAGTCGCAATACCCTCTGACATGCCATACACAATGGGCTGCGTGGAAGCTCCTTGCCCGACTTTCGAGAATTCTCTTAATCAATCCCCATCGAACAGACCCCAACGATGGAAAATGTGTAATCCAAATGTCTTTTTCACACGCTTAATTGAGTAATGATGAGTACATTCATCATCTTTAAAGGTAAAGCATGCAAAAAATACCATTCATGGAAAAATATTCACACATCGTGGATCCATGAATGAATCTATCAACCACCAAAGTCAAAACATTGCTGGCTCGACGCACGAAAAATTGAACTGGATTAAAATTCACCATGTTGGGTTATGCCAGTCATATTCGTGAATCGTATAGCGGCTGATTGAGTCACCAAGTATAATACTATAATACTCGTACTACGCTCGGCGTCTTAGCGATTTGTGCTGGTCGACCACGACCCTTCTTTGGCTTTTTTTGCGGGAGACTCTTTAGTTTTAAGTCGAACGTCTGCAGTCATCCCTGATCTTATTTCAAACAATAAACACTCGAGGAGCGAAAAGGCAAATAGCCTTGACTCGCATTACATCCAGAATACAGTCTGACAGTGGTTAGGTCGTGTCAGATCTATGCAGAGTGAGAGGAATTTGACGTTTTCTTGGCCGCGAAATCCTAACGTCGGGCGCTAAATCTCTTGGTCCTGTTCGTATTGACAGAGGGATCTAGTTTGCTTGGCTAACACAGTCAACGACAAGAAACTGAGAATTGTACACAATTAGCCCTCTCGATATAAGAACAAAATTAAATAAGGAAAAGCGGGCATTAGTTTATTTCATTAAGAAGTTGAGGATATATTTTCACAAGGTCATTGGAGGACTCTACTAAATTAACACACTCCTCACAAACGCTCACCYACTATCTCGTTAAAACACACTACAACAGCCAAATGAATACTCACTTTAGCTATCATTGCGGTTTTTGCTCCTAGCCGGGAAGCCATAACACACTGGTTTGCCCCTTTTCCTCCGAAACCCATACAAAACTTCGTGCCAGTGATGGTTTCGCCCGCTTTTGGAAGCCGTGGAACATAGCTACAAGAAAAACACGCAAGAAACTGGTCAATGGAAAGTCGAAGGGGAAGCGTTTTACTGCCCAAAGAAACGGTGAACCTACCTAACGAGATCTGTCATGCAGGAGCCTACCACAACCACGTCGAAAGGCCCTTTATCTGCCGCCATTTCTCGCCGCCAATATAGAATGGTTCTCGAAGTCCTTCGTGGTGTTCGCCCGTATAAACCGGAAATAACCTCATGGCATATACCGCACACCACTTACAATCTAATACGACGGGCTCAGCGGTTAGCCTCGTTCTCATGTAAAACCAGGAAAACCTGGGAACTAATTTGAAGAGATTCTCCGCTGTACATGCCCGCGATACGCCGCCATTTTTGTTTTGCTTCAAAAGATTAAGAAAATTAAATATTTGTTGCTCTTGAAAAGGGGCAAAGATGCCTCTTTTCGATATTATTGGACTGGGTGGAGAGAAATTTGCTGTTATAATTGATATTGGATCGGCGTATACCAAGTAAGTTGGGGCTAAAAGCAGGGTTTGAGCCTTGTATCGATCAGTACGATATGACCTAGTTATAAACACACCCTTTCATTGATTATCAATTTGATGATAATCGATTAGAAGACATAGGGTGACAGGGTATAGTACTTCACATTTACTTACGATAACGTAATAAGAGTATGTCAACTACTGTATTTTCTCAAAAGCTCTTCACATGTTGCTTTGTTTCGCCCTACAATCAGTAAATTCAATCAGTCTCTTATTGATGAGTGAATTACAAATTCTGTATCACATCACAACACTAGATAATCACATCACATATCTGCATCACAGGGTTATAAAATTAATGATCAGCTGTTGTTGGTTTATGAATGTATGATGTATGATGTATGATTATTATGATCTTTAGGTGTGGTTTTGCAAAAGAGTCAGCGCCGAGGCACATAATACCCAGTACTATAACGCATACAGTTAATGGAACGGTATGGCAAGTGTATAATTAAGGAATATAAAATGTGTGCACATGTCTATGTATGGTGATATAAATATGCTGTCCATCACCAGCATGAGTTACACTCCACAATGTTCTATTATGTTTGATGCGCTTATGCACTGGTGTAGGGTAATATTGAACTGTAGAGTACAAGAGAAGCAAGCTTAAGACCACAAGGCGTAGCCGAGTGTTTATTTTTGCTTTTCGAGTAAAAAATACCCTACTCCAGGCATCAACATTGCTAAGATGTATTGAGATGTCTTAATTTGTTTTATGGGTTGTGATTATTTAGACAAGAACAGAACATGTCATCAGTGATGATGAGAAAAGAAACCCAGATGAACTCTATGCCATACTTAGGGATTTTATTCATATGATATACTTCAGGTATGGTCTGTAAATATCTAGTTCTTTTTAACAATAGACCTTTCCTGAATTGGCTTGACTGACCACGAAACAATGGTTTGAAGTCGAGATTGAACTTGATTCTTTTATTCATCAAGCTCAACCTCGACTTGAAACCATTGTTTCGTGACCAGTCAAGCGAATTCAGGATAAGTCTATTCTCACATTGACCACAGAGAAAAGGTTGAGCTAATATCCAATATACTCCTCAGCCTGCCTCCACTTTGTCTCACGTATACTAGTGTGCTATATCCATCTATTTATTAATTACTTTTAGTGTTCTCTTTTTTCTGGTAGATACCTACTTGTCAATCCAAGAGACAGAAGAGTTGTGATCTGCGAATCAGTTTTATGCCCTACTTTGTTCCGAGAAACATTAGCTCAAGTTCTCTTCAAGCACTTTGAGGTTTGTCAGTATTTCTATCTTGTCTCTGAGTTCAATCCAAGTAAAGGTACATGTGACTAGTTACACGTTTGTGCAAACTTTGTTCTTTTCAGGTGCAGTCAGTATTGTTTGCCCCCTGTCATCTTTTAAGCCTTTTCACTCTTGGTGTACCTACTGGTCTGGTGGTAGACTGTGGCTACAATGAGTCTCTTATATTACCAATATCCTCTTAGTGCTTGCTGTTTAGTCAAATGATTTTAGACTACTTTCTAGCTGTTTGTGATCATATATTTATGATTAACAGACATGTGTCAGTAAGCAATGGCAATCGTTGGCCAACATTGAGCAGCTTGTTGGCTGTTCATATTTACACAATTACCTTAGCTGTTATAATGGCTGCTTTTCTCCAATTCTTTATATATTTGTTATTAAGACGATTCTCAGTGTTATTGTATAATGTGTAACAGAGGATGCCATGTTTCATTGCCTTATCATTAGAAAATGATTTGTTATACTTAACATTCTATTAAGTCTACGAGGGAATCCCYATTCTTAAAGCTGTTGTAGGAATCCCCCTTGCAGCCAAAGCAATACACAAGTAAGTTTACATGCGTGGGTTTTATCGACAGGACAGAAAAACGACAAGGCCTCTACCTTTACAATTTTTTATTTAACTTCCTTTAATACTTCAGATTTTTAAGTGTTTCTTTTGTGTCACTGCTGCTCGAAACTTGTGGCAAAATTTTGTTGAATTAGAGTAAATCTATGGCTTAGTATTCAGGAAAATGTCAGTTTTTCCAAAGTACATGGCTTTATATCTCAAATACGCATTCAAAAAATTTTGGTCGCATTTGATATTCTGCTATTTGGCTCCAAAAGAATGTGTTTACAAAATATTAAGCCTAAATACATAAAGCTGTCCTTATGGTGAAAGGCCAAAAACTTTTTTTCCTGCCCTGTCCGTTTTATCTCCACTGCTAATGCTGTTCCAGTTGATTAAACATCAAAATTCAATATTAGGTTCAAGTAGTCATGATCAATAAACGAAAAGAAAAAATGCAACTATTTTGTTTTAGGCCAGCCACATTATAAATATTGAAAATGAAAATTAAACAAACTAAACTGATTCAACTTTAATCACAGGTATCTGGAACAGCAACTCATGGATAGAAGTTTGGTGCAGATTGAAAAGGGAATAAAACCACTCTCATCTGTCATAGGTAAGAGTTTTAGAATTAACAAGATATCCAAAAATRATTCAATCTACTCAGTCTCAAAATTATGAACCAATATACAAGTATTCTTAGTATTCAATTAATGCGATATTTGACAAAGGTTTTTAACATGTTTTTGCCATTAATTTAGGTGCACTTCCAGATGAAATTCTAGAAGATATCAAAGGTATAATAATAATAATAATAATAATAATAATAATAATAATAATAAATACATATTTTATCAGGGTAGGCCCGTCAGCAAAGCTGTTCAAATAATTTATGCATTTCAATTTATGTGAATTAACTCTTGCATTGAATTTATGCTTTTGTTACTCAATGTGCACTCATATTTTTTTAGTGCGCACCTGTTTTGTGGCGCCCAAATTCAGTGGTCCAAAGGATGAGCCCCGCCCTGCATCCATGGTACCCCAAGTGGATTACCCTCTTGATGGTGGAAGAATATTGAGAATAGAAGGACAAATCAGGTTGGTGTTTCTGATTTCAATGCTACCTGTCAATCATGTATGATAAGGGTAATGTGTTTTGTGATGTTTCATATGCTATCCTCATAATGGCTGACGAGTGCACGGAAATGAGTACACCCAGTCATCTTGCAAGGCTGTGCAAGGCTGCTCATTTCAAAATAAAGGTGGATAGCACGAATTCAGGTCAAAACAAAAAGTCAATTTCTTATACTTTTCTTCTATGAATGTATAATTTTTTATTTGCTTTTACATCTTTCAACTAATGACTGGGTGACCTGGTCTTTGTGCACTTGTCAGCAATTATGAGAACGGTATATAATCAATAATATTCTATTAAGGAAAAAATGTATTTAAGTGTCTCATCATCCTAGTGTTTTTGCACTAATTGGGGACACTTTCCACTCACACACAAAAACCCTTGTAGCATAGGAGAAAACAACACATCAAACAAACTCAATTCACACGTGGCAACCACAGGGCTTGAACCAGCTACCCAACTCATTAGACTCACAGCGATGAAAGATGTTCAATGCGCTAGCAGCAGTTTCCCACCATTTCAATCTAGCTAACCATTCTCTTTCTCACTTCATTGTTTTCGGTCTTGATTGTCGCCAGACCAAAGAAATGCGGCTTATTCACCTATTGGGCACTCTTAGTCTAATGAACGCTTTGCTTTCAACTAACCCTTTCTTTTGTCTTTTGATTGTTTGTTTTTGTTTCCTTGCCTACCTTGTTCTCATTGGTTTCTTTTATCTTATTCTATCATATAAACACTCCTTTCTACCTCTTTCTCTTTTACTTCAACAAAGTACTAGCATTCGAAACATCAGTTTTTTCATCTTTTCACAGTGTATAATTTACCTTTTTATCATTAATATTTTCTTTGTCCTTCCTTGCTTATAAATCTAGAATGATGAAGACAATTAAAGTTTCTCATGTAAATTCTCCTGTTACTCTTTTTTCTCCCAGAGAACAAACATTTGACATCTTGTTTGATGGTGATGAAGAAGAGAAGTCTATTGCTACAGCCCTGCTTGATTCACTATTACAAGTATGAAAGCACTAAACTTTAAGGGATGACCGAGAATGGTGCCTTATTAGCTACCTTATATTGAACTTCTCAGCCACTCCTGCCCTGATTTGAAGTTTTTCAAATTTGAACAACTATTTTCTTTTATTAATTCCAATAATATTCCTGTCCATTCTTTATAGTGCCCTATAGATACTCGCAAGCAATTAGCAGAAAATATTGTGTTGATTGGAGGAACAGTTATGACACCAGGCTTCAAGTAAGTGGACAGAAAACTGTCAAAAGACTTCATCCATATGATTGCAACAGAATTTCAATTTTCACTCTCAAATAATATTATTCTTGGTACATTTATCTTCTACTGTCAATAAAAAAAGCCCTCTGTATTTTCCAATAGGCATCGCTTGATGCAAGAGATTTACATCCTTCTTCAGTCTCCACAATACAATAACAAGCTGTTTATCAAAACTGTCAAGATGCATACCACTCCAGTTAATGCCAACTGTGCTGCTTGGCTTGGAGGTAAGAAGGATATTATCCTGTTTACATCCCCACATGACCATTTTAGGTTGATTTACAAAGGGAATTTCAAATTTTATAGATATCCTAAAACAACCTCTAGGTTGATCAAGGTCACAACATGGCTAACTCAAGGGTCAAATAAAAGATTAGCTTGATAGTTTTTGCAGTCTAGAATAGAATAGAGTCCCCGTTGCTCAGCTAATTGCTGTTAATAATGGACCAGAAGTGATACTGAGGGAGGAAAACTAAAGAAGCTGGAGAAAAACAATGGAGTGACCCAACAAACATACTTGACATGTTATGCCAAGTCCATCTAATTGAATCCAATCAAATTGATTGCATATATGTCAACCTTATTACCTACTCCTTTTTTTTGAGGAAAGAAAAGGATATTTACTAACTGTATGGTTATAATAAATGTTATTGACTAGTAAACGATTTACTTCAATGGGATTCTAAAAAAAGTGTTTTGTTCTTTTAAATACAGGTGCTATATTTGGTTCACTGGAAGTACTGGCTGACCGATCTGTTCTAAAAGAACAATATGCGCATGACAAGAAGATTCCAGACTGGTCCCAGTGTGACATCACAACAGAAACTGCTCCCCCAGCTGAAGAGCCACAAAGGCCTACTCTCTCCAGACGACAGACTAGTGGGATCACCAGTACACTAAGCAGTCTAAGCAGCAAGCTGTCCAGTCACATACTCAGCTCTGGAAGCAGTCGCCTTGGTTCTCCGCTAGGAAGCAGTAGGTTAGGATCTTCTCCATCAGGCTCTAGCAAGAGTAGCATAAAGGAAAGTCCAGCCGAGGAAAAGAAAGGAGAGTAATGTTAGATAGATATTAGAAAACTTTGTGGGTTTGTTTATAAATATTCAAATTATTTATTCATTTGTAGAACTGTCATATCCTAATATGGGACTCTAGTGCATGTATGAGCTATGACCAGTGCCAGTGCCGAAAAACCAATTGTTGCAAACTGAAGAAAATCTGGGGTCATGGATCGAAATGTCTGGAAATATTTCTTGAATCCTAAGCCCTACACAATAGATTTCAAGTATTAACTGYCATATTCTAGATTTCATGTGATTATTTCCAAACAAAACTTTATGATAAGATATAACTTTAGTGGAAAAGAAAAGTAGGAAATCTTTCAGAGATGGAAAGAAAGGAATGGTTTTAATCTATAAAATGATTGTCATTTTATGCCTCCCTTAACCTTGCCATAAATTTAGTATCCTTGGTTCCCTAGGGTTACTAGTGTTAAGAAAATATATTAGGGGGATGGGGTAGGAACTAGAATATTCCCCAGCCACTTAGAAAACTTCTTGCAATCTTGATCCCAAGAGGATAATGTTTTATAGTATTTTAATTTTAGTTGGGCTCTACTAAAGTAGCTAATAATATTAATAAGATAGTTTAATAGTAATGTATTTTAAATAATTTGGCTGATGTAATAAATAATATAAATTATTATTTATGAATTAGTAAATTAATAATCAAAGAATAGTTTGTTTGTTTTTTTTCATTCTAGTTTTTAGTGAGTGACGTCGATATTCTGCTTTTGGGTTTCCTGTGGCATGTAAATATTCCTGGGTTTGAAGTTTWAAAAAAAGTTAAAATGAACACAGCAAAAGTAATAAAAATTTGATTAAGAAAACAAACACAAGAATTGCTGGACGTTTGGATGACATCCTGTCATCATTTTCAACAACATTCAATGAAAGATCAAGCGAATTATCTTGAAAAGAAATTAAATTTAATCCGAATGTAAATCTGGGATCTTTGATTGGGCTTCCTGTGGTAATATTTACCTTCAAACTACATTACTATATTTTGAAAAATTTTTTTTCGTCCGGTTTTGATTGCTCTTTGTCCTATTTAGTTAAAGAAGTGCAAGATCTTTAAACGAGATTGAAAACTAAAAAAAGACGAACGCAAAAAAATGTCCTTCGAGCCGGATTYGAACCAGCGACCTAGGGATTACAACTTTCATTCTACAGTCCCCCGCTCTGCCAACTGAGCTATCGAAGGTACACATGAAATCTCTTCAATGTCTTTCGAATTTAAACGCCTCCGTGATCGGTAGACCCTGTCTTTTCTCGGATTTTCATCTCAGTTCTGTTTCAATCAACATACTTTCCAGTAAAACATCCTTTTCGTCACTCAAGTAGGGTTCATGTAACCAAAGTGACAAATAAACCAATAGAATATTCCTGTCATTAGTCTTTGTAAAATATGGGAAAATTTTTTGCTTCAATTCAAGTTCTTTTCCAAACATGGTATGGAGTTTCTCTGAAGACGAATCTAAAAGATAGAAAGAAAAATCAAACATTATAAAATGTCTCAGTTTTGAGAAACAGAAATGAAATTTGGTGTGCCGGGTGCGACCCATGAAAACGTCAAAATAAATGTATTCACTTACAATATTCATTCACTGGCCACGTGTTAAATACTGTCTCTGTTTCATGATCAAATAAATCTTCTTTTTCTTTGAATTGTTTGAGCTTTTCAGCAGCTTGAAAACTCTTTGTTAGACTTTCCATCTTCTTGTGGATTTCTGCCTGAAAGATTAGACAGATTTGATCAAATCACTATCAAATACATTTACAAATATTGGGGACATATGAAGTTGAATGACTTTCATAAAAAATGTCAGGGTCTTTATATATGTAGCTAAAAGCCTCACCATTTTAGAAAGTATTTTAGAGAGTTCCTCTAGGGTTTTCAACACTTGTTCCTCAAAATCTGAAGATGCAGTCTGACTCATGTCATTCATGACGGTGACTGAATTCGAATCCTCCAAATCGCTGTACCTTGGAAGATAACAATTCTGTATCACAATTCCTTTGTTCTTCATAAAAGATATTACAAAGATTGAAAAAATCAGAAAACCTACTGTTTTTGAAGCTGGAGATTCATCAATTTATTGGCTACTGTTGTGCCCAGTGAGTTGAGGTTAGTCCATTTTTGCACCAATTCGTGCCAAGTCGCACATAGATCTCTCACTCTCTTAGCAACATCACATGTAGGTCTACTACGAGGAAAGTCTCTTTGTGAAGGACTTGGAGTAAAAGATTCTCTCTTATTAGAACTTTTCGACTTCGGTGTTTTAGGTGACTTTCCTTTAGACGCCATGTTGACATACTAATGAACCTAAGGGGTAGTAGGACCGGTATTTGATAGACTAAAACACTCTAAGTGGGGAAGGGGGGAATACGAAAAATTCTCTTTCAAAGAGGTTTTGTTCAAAGTCCAAAAAGACATCAAAAACGCAAAAATTAGATTAGATTTATAAGTCTAAATTAAGTGATAAAATAAAATAGCGATAATTAGATTAAATAGGGAATTATTCTTAATTTTAAAAAAATCTATCGTCACCCTCCCACCCAGTATTCTGTTACTAAGGAAACGACGTAAGATGTTATCATAGCAACAAGCCCTTGTAGTGGTATTTACATTGACGACGTGTAACTGACCAATCAGATTCAAGTATTTCTTTGCAGTCTCAAAAAAGAAGCACGACTGTTTCTCCAAACCACAAGGACTCACCAGGGTTTCCAAAGGTTTATCGACAAATTCTGCCATAAAAAACGCGATATTTTCTACCCTCATCATCTGAAAGCTTTAACGGTAAGTTTTGAACACACTCAATAAATCAAATCGCTTAAAAATTTCACTATTTCGGACTTGAAAACAGCTGTTTTCGTTACGCTTTCCGTGACACAAACTTAACATGAAAATGTTTTCAATGATAAAGTTGTCTTTCGATTCAGTTTTAACCGACAAAATCATTCCTTTGCACTGTTTTTGGGGATGTATTTGTATGTTTTATAACTGCTAATTTAATCATGAAGCAACTCATATCTCCGTCCTATAAAGGATCAACTTGTCAAGAACACTTTCTAGTACACTCGATCAGCATCTAAGTTATGTACTCTTCTGGACTTCAAATATTAAATTCTTTACGAATGCAAATCGGGTTCATTAGATCTCAAGGAGAAATGTCCGGTTTATAATGAAGTTGTTGAAATATTTATCAAAGGCTCGTCCTACAAATTGGGTTGTTTTTCTAAGGAGGTTTTTTCTGAAACAAGCTCCATTGTTAAGGTACATAGATAATTGCTTTGTCGTTGACACTATTTTGTCAAATAAAATTAATGTTTACGTGGCAACGACATATGTTTTTATTCTTGAAACACGTATTTTTGTATCTTTTAAAAAACAAGATGATAGTTTTGTGAGGTTTGTCATGAATTTTGTAATGAAATTCACAGTTTCTCTTTGCCAAAATAGACCTAGGTCTACATATAGAACTGAGAATGATTCCTATTTGTTTTGAATAGGTCTACAGTCGTGTCAATGCAAAGCAAAGCCCATGGCCCATCCATCAGTATATGAGAGACAAAGTGCTCACTCATTCCAGCAAAGCCTTCAAATGCCAGAGACATACGCACCTATTTCAACAGTACAAGGAATGAGTACTAGGGACAAGAAGCCAAGGCTGTCACGGCTTGAGCTCATGAAACAGAACTATGAAAAGAAAAGGCAGAAGGATGTACAGGAGAAGCTCACAGAGATAAGAGCTCAACGGGCAAGGGCTGATTCTGGGAAGGATCACAGTGGTGGGACAGTGAGAGCTTTCTTTGCTGAAAGGCGAGCGATGGAAGCATCTAAGAGAGGCCAGCAAGATCCTTCTAGTTTACCACCAATTGGAACACATTTCAAAAAGATGAAAAGTAATAATCAAGGACCAGTTGTCCCAAGGTCTTCACAAAAAAAGGAAAATAAACCTGTTATACCTGCAGAAAATGTTACTGCAATTCATGGTGTTCACTCAACTGGAAATAGAGGCATGGTTAAATATTATCRTAAGAAGAGCAAAGGGGTAGACAAGCAGAATCCTCTCCCTCCATTACAAAGAAGGCCCTCTAATCCTAGTAATCACAAGCCTCCAACACCTAACAGACGGTATGAGACACAAAACACTTTGAAATCAGAAGACGAGGCTTTTATCTTAAATCATTCAAATGTTGAACAAGAAAATATCGTCGCTGACAAAGATATGGTTTATGTACCCCGCCCACCCAAAAATCCAAAACCTTCCAAGACAAATGCAAGGGCAGCAAAACCTGTGCTTGTTGATGATAATGAGGAAAGAGCTGATGAGGAAGATAATGATGGGTGGAGCCTATATTCTGACGAGCCCCAACCTAATCTGTCCAAGGTGAAAGCTCTGAGAATGAAGAGATTGAGCCAAAAGAAGCTTAGCGTTGGGAATTCAAAGCCAGAAAAACCAACAGAGTTCCAAAAATGGCAAATGCAACAAGATGAAGAACGAAGAGAAAGGTTAGAAAATCATAGAAAACAGAATCAACATATAGATGATAGTGATAATGAGCAGAAAGCTACATTATCAATGAGGGAAAGAGAGCTTTTAGAAAAAATAAAAGCTGAACAGGACAAGTTGAGTCATATTAAAAGAATGCAACAGGAATTAGAAGAACAAGAGAAACTTGAACGGGAAAATACCATTACGCCTCAAATACCAAATGAAAACAAAAGAAAAATGGCAGTTAAAGAAGAAAAAAGCTTTCAATATGCCCAAAAACGAATTGATAAAACTCCTACACCAGTTAAGAAGGTGTCGCCAGTAATTCCTGCACAGGAAGAAACCCAGCTGCAGTTTCCTGAGGCACCAAAAAAGAGTAAACCAAAACCAAAACCACAAATTATCCAGCAAGAACAAGATTCTGATGAGCATGAACTGGAACCGAAAGACAATTTTGTTCATTTTTATGAACAAGCTGGAGAGGAAGCTGAACAGGTTGAGGTTGATTTAACTCCTTGTTCTATCTGTGGGAGAAATTTTGCAACTGAGCGGCTTTCAAAGCATCAAGTTGTCTGCCGGAAAAACTCCAATAAGATGAGAAAAAAGTTTGACACCAGGAAACAAAGAGTTGCTGGAATGGAACATGAAAATTATGTCCTCAGTGGAAAATATAAGGAAGAAACTCCAAAGGTAACTAACTAACTACTTAGTAACTAAATTTATTTTGTACAGTTGTTTGCAACTAAGCGTGAACACCAGACACTAAAACATGTCCTAACTGGTGGCCAAAATGTTGAAGTTAGTCAACCGGAACGTTGAGGTTTGGCGCCAAAGTGCCAGCCTAATGGCAACGTTTGTTCAATTATGCGTGCATGTTGATCTGTTGGTGTTGTTCATGGATTCCTTCGAAAGAGTAGACATAAGCRAGTTTCTAGAAGAGATCGATCCTGATCTCCTTCAGTATTCTTCACATTTTCGAAAAAAAGGCTTTACCTCAAACAAAAGCATGAAGTACTTGAGAGAAAACGATTTTGATGTTTCGAGATTGAAATACCTGAAGGAATTTGCGCGCCCAACTGTCCATAGAATCTTTATGAAACACACGTTGCAATTGACTAACTTCAACTTTTTGACCACCAGTTATAACATGTTTTAGTGTCTAGTGTTCAGGCTTAGTTGCAAACGACTGTATTTAATGTAATTTCTGATATTTTGAAATTAATTTTGCTTTTTTTATGCTGTAAATCAAAAAAATCAGTCAGTACCTTTTATTTTCTTGACTGGCAGCAGTAAAAAATTTAATTATACAGCATGTCCAGTACTCACATGCCTCCCTCTCATACAAAAACTGCTCTTGTGCTACAAGTTATGTATTACTAGAAACTCATGGTAGTACTCTCTCACAGATCAGATTAAGTGTTTGCTCTCTTGACTAATCCTTTAAATTTTTTAAACTAATTTAATGACTCATTTTGGTCCATAGGCAAAGAAAGCGGACTGGAGAGTTCAACATGAAAATTTCGTGAAGACAATTCGTTATGCCAAGGGAGCCAGTAGCGAACCTCCACCTGTCATAGAAAACCCTCATTATGTTGCATGTCCTTACTGTGAGAGAAAATTCAACCCTGAAACTGCAGAGAGACACATACCAAGATGTAAAGACATTAAGGCCAGACCAGCGCCACCTCCCAAAAAAGACAGACACAGAAAAAAGAGATAGTTTTTTTATACACTAAATAAGGGTGCTTTTATTAAGTTGGAACTGATCGGTCAAAGTGGCCAGTTCTCAAATGGTACCTGTCACTTCTTAAAACTGGACCAATGTGGCCCAAACTAGAACTAATGAAGAACTGATGCTTACCATTTTTGAACTAATGGCCACTTGGACTGATCAATTCTACTTAATGGAAAGTGCTCTAAATCACTATACATCTACAAAAATTTCTTATATTTCTTATATGGAATTTTATCTAAAAAATTTTTTTTGTGCTGAAATTATTTTAAAATACTTACACAAGTGAATCTTAAAATATAAATCATTGACAATGTCTACAGTTTTGTCAGTACAAAGACTTGATATCCCTTGAAGTGATATTTACATTATAGTTTATCTACGAATGACCATGAGTGATTTTTGTGTGAATAGTAGAACTGAGAACTCATTTATGAACAAGAAATGAAATATAAATAAAACATTAACATGACTAAGATTAAATAAAAAGTGTGTTTTTCTATAGTAACGAATTCATTAAATATTCTATGAGACAAATAATAATATTATTATTTTTGAATAAATAAATAAATATTTAATTAAAATTGTTATTCTTATTCTTCCYTTAGCATTAAAGGTAGGTCCACCAGTAGGTCACCTTTTTTTCAGAGGACATTGGGTTCCCACATTCACAATTTAGCATATAATCCTCGGACACACTAGTGCTAAGGATATAAGTGCAAACATGCTGTAAGATAAGATTATTCTCCTTTTACTCTTTACATCATCAGCAAGGTTCATATCTTGTAAAATTTTCAATCCTTTTGGCCACCCGAATTTCATGCAACCGCACTTTCAATAAAGTCTGATGCTTCTTTATAGACCTCCTTGGCTCAGGTGTAATGCTTTGCCATTTCAGAACACATGTCATTCCCTTGAGAATAACATTCTTTTCTTGAGTTATATTCGTATTCATGGGTCTTCTCATGTGCAACCCAGTGAAACTGTACAACAAAGAAATGATACTCTAGGGAATGACGTGGTCAGAAATGTGAAAACATGCCAGAGCAGAGGAGGTCTATTCATGCCATGACCATCTTCACCGACATTGATCTAGCTTGGTTGCATAATCAATTAACTGTTGTAGAAAGCCAGGGTTTGGGCTTATTCTCCTTTTACTCTTTACAGCCCGTACAGCATCTGTAAGGTTCATATCTTGCCAGGTTATTAGATAAGCAAGGACAAGAGTAGCTGAACGACTCAGTCCCTCCTTACAGTGCACATAAATTTTTCCATCCTTTTTGCCACCTGCCTTTGATCCAACTGCACTTTCAATGAAGTCTGRTGCTTCTTTAAAATACTTGTTTATCTTGAACGTCAGGATATCAGTGGCTGGAATCCCATGGAAGATAATTCCACTTTTGTAGAATTCGGCATTGGTATTGACATGAGAGAATTTTTTCGTTCCTTTAGCAGCATTTAAAACGTGAGTAATACCAAGTTCTCGTAACTCACTCTCATTGACAGCTGTTTGCCTAGGAACAGTCGTTTGATTAAAAAAGGAATAAAACCTTTGACCATAAGCCAAAGAAATAACAACCTCAAGTAACAACCTGACGCCTAATCCAACTATGGATTGTCATAAACGCTTAACTGACAGGGGGAGGGGTGGATATACCAATCAAAGTGGTAACACTAAATACATGAAAAAGTCCAAGATAAACATCAAAAAAAGGTTAATAGCTGTAACGATTGAAAATTTTGAAAACGATTTTGAAACGATTGAAAAGATGGTTATAAAAATTATTACAATATTATCTTAGTTTGCTTTTGAACAAAATTTCACTGGATCAGAATAGGTCTTGGAAGAATAAACTTGTGTAGGCTTGTCACCCAGTTGGATATATAATATAATGAGTCAAAAATAATTAAATGATACGATAATAAGGTCTTGGAAGAATCTTGCAAAGATTTTTAACATTCCCGCCAATTTGTTCGCGGTTAAATTCGCTCTTTTTTCAAAAATATTTACACATTATGGCAAAAATGTCGCTGAATTTTACATAAAAGCATTAAAAATTTCAGTTTTGCTGAGATTTTTTGTTTACACCTGAGAGAGTTTCAAGTATAAATACGTAAGGATGAAATCAAGAATATACTCACTCTCCGCCAAGGAAAATGTTATCGTATACTTCGTCAAACGGTCTCCTGTCCAAACTTTTGGGATTATCTTTATCTGGTGCCAATATGATGTCCACGAGATCTTTTACTGATACTAGACAAGGGTTTTTGTGCATTACACACTGACCCATCTCCTTCGCCATTACGACCAACTGAACAGTCTGTTGAACCGGAGAAAAACTTGAACTCGGAACAAAAGGAATCTGGATTCTGGAACGCGCGGCAATTACATCTGCCCCCATTTACAGAGGGGTTCCCCCAGGATATAAAAGTTAAATATGAGAAATACTAAAATATTTACAGTCTAATATTTATAATTTGTCATCTACATCGGTCAATTTTTGCTGCATAGTCAATCAACTGCTGTAGAAACCCAAGGTTTGGACATATTTTTCTCTTACTCCTTAACATCTGTACTGCGTCAGTTAAATTTGTGTCTTGATAAGTCATGAGGTATGCTATGACAAGAGTTGCAGAACGACTGATGCCAGCAACACAATGAACAAAAATCCTTCCACCTCTCTGACCAGTTTTCTTGGAACCAACTGCTCTTCTGATAAAATTCGAGGCCTCTTTAAAATGCTTGCTTATCTTATAAGATGGCATGTCCAAAGCTGGAATCCCATAAAAGATAATTTCACTTTTGTAAAACGTTTCATCTGTGTCAACTTGAGAGAAACCATTTGTTCCCATGGCAGCATTTAGGACATGAGTAATGCCAAGCTCCTGTAGTATACTTTCATTTAGAGCTGTGGGCCTGTTAGTGAAAAGTGATACACCCAATGTAAGTTAATCAACTTTATATTCATAACAATGTCAGTGGATATTATGATGACAGGGCCGTAGCAAGATCAGAAATAATGGAAGGGGGGGAGCTCTCGGGCTCTCAAGCCAATTGCCCATAGATATTTTTCATTTGATTCCCACAGGTTTTTGGATTGCAAATTACATTTGCCCTGAAGGAGTACAAATAATCACAGGCATATTTCATCATTAGTACTGAGACTTTTGCCTAAAATTGCCTTACTCCCAAGTAACAGGGTTTTGTTTTTTGACTGTAATCAAAACTTTCATTGAAGAGTGTGCAAATAGATTGATTCAGTTTCAATGCAATGTTTCCCATTCACACCATATTTGTCATTCCCTTGAATATTATTATTTCTTTTTAACCCAATAATGCYTTTAAAGAAATATCAACAGGAATGTAATTTAACATAACAATCATATTTTCGAGAAATATCTATAAACAAGAGACGTTATTTTCTTATATTGTAACTTAATCGCAGCTGTAACATTTAGTTTTGACCTTTTAATTAAATTAACTGATTAAGATCTACAGTTAGTGAACGATACTTACTCTCCTCCTATAAAAATGTTGTCGAAAACTTCATCGTATAAGTTCCCAAGCTTATACTTATCGTCGTACTTGTCTGCAAAGATAATATTTCTAAGATCTTGGACAGAGACGAGAGGAGGGCTTCGTGGACTAACCTGACATTGCCCCATTCTCTAAATGAGGTGAAATTATTAATATCAATCAAATCAATCAAATCCTTATTGATTCTAAATTCTTTTGAGTTTTATTCAGAGCTTTTCTAGCTTATCTGGGTCGAAATCTAAATCTTTAAAAATAAAGCAGTCAACATTAGGACGACGACAGTCACCTGCCTTCAACAGCTTTTCTTCCCGTTAAGAGGATTGATAAAGGTAGCCCATTAGTTTGAAAATGTCTCAGTAACACAGGCAGCCCAACAAGTCAGGACAAGGGAGCTCCATTCAAACAGAAATTAGTAGATTTACATTCAGCAATTATTATGGCCATGTCAAATGCATATTGGTAAGTGATAAACAATCAAATTTTGTTCCCCGGATGGTATGAAGATGACGTACCAATTAGATCTTTTCCAAAATAGCGAACATAAGTCATTCTTGTTCCCAGAGCCTGTGCTATTGGCACAAATGTCCCACTGTCGTCATCTCAGAAAATGCCAAATCACAGGATGCTAATCACTACATAACTAATTATCATAGTACATATTTTAGACACCAGGAGGAAATCCTCATGAATGCAAAAACATGCAATAGGGCTATAATGTTGGGTTTCAGCCCTTTATTCAAGGGTATTTCTGGGTATTTCAGGGTTCCATGGTTTTTGTCCCACCATTTAACCCAACATGCTAATTCTAAATTCTAAATTATCAATTAAATTATCAATTATTGATCTGTCAATAGCCATACCAATGGGCAGACTAATGGGGAGCCAATGGGCTCCCCTTTATTTCAGAAGTGCTCTTACCACTATGACACTCATGCTCCTCTAGCTCCATGCCATCTGGCACACCTCTACTTTAGTTTTGCATAATCAGCAGTGAGACTAGTGTCTAATTCTAAATTTGTCTGCCCCCTCTTTCAAAGATTCCTGGAACCGCCTTTTTTGATTCAAGATGCCCAAATCAAGGTTTTAAGGAATCGATAAAAAAATTAGGCTGCGTTCATAATGTATGGCAGAAGGGGGAGAGGGGGGTGGGGGGCAGGTGAAATCTTTAAATGACAAAAAAATCTTAAGGCCCCCCTTGAAGTCCCCAAAAAAATAACTATCCCCCCTGGGCAATCTCTCATAGCTTGTTCTAAAAATTTTGCATCCCCCCAATTCTCTGAAAAAAAATTTTCAAAYCCCCCATTTTACTGGTTAAAATTTTTCTGATCCCCCCTAAATTTCACCTACTCCCCCCCTCTGCCACACATTATAATGTAGCCTTATAAAAAGCAAGTTACAAGTGACAAAATACATTACGCAAACAAACAAGATATTTGTAAAGTGTTTTATTTATTAATAAACAGGTCAAATACCTGGTTGCCATGTAATGAACACTAAGAGTAAGAACTAAATCTCAAGAGAGATTCTCGGTTAGGTGAATAAATACCCTCTCAAAACTGGCACTCTCACTCGGCTCTCTCCGTCTTTAAAAAATATATATACAAAATCCTTATAATATATAAATATCTATGATAAATATTAATCTGTTTTGCATCAAACTATCAAGAATCTTGGAAAATGAGTAGCTCTTTCACAAACTTATGTCACCAAGGAAAAGATATTAATTTCATCCTATTTTAATTTTTAAATGTTGAAAAATGTTTTGAGAAAAAAGGTCTCACTAGTGGTAATGTAGGACATTGTAGAGGGGACTAATTGCTCAAACTGTGCGATATGTAGGACATGCAAACTCGGAACAGTATTACAAAGGGTTTCTTACAAAGTTAACAAACTGTTTAACTCGGTGAGAGTGGTCCAGTTAAAATGTCTGCACAACAATAATACCATGGCAAAAGAGCAACTCAATTCCAAGTATTTTTCACACAAAAGCAAGTGCACTGTTTATAAAATGAAAAAACCCACCCAGTCCAACTAGATCACTATGCTGCATTCCCAGAAAACATCCAAACTTACATTATAGAAATTAGAACTTTAGAGTAAGGGAGTTTTCATATATCCTAATATTTTCTATACAAATAATCCTAAAAATGATTTTTTGATCAGTAATTTTTGTCATGAAAGTTAAGATGTTTTCCAGAGCCATAATAAAGATATAAAGTTTTTATAATCAGTCTTCAATCAACACAATTATTTCAACAAATCAAGCTCAAGTTGTTCTTATGTTTCTATGATCCATAAGGTTTCAGACATGAAACATATCTTCTGCTTTCTTGGATTGCATCCATCAATTGACTAAGTTATTGAATTTAGGAAAATTTGGCTCACAAGCATTAAAACCCAGACGTCTAAAAGCTTTGATGCAAAAAAAGACAGTTCAAATAATCAGCGATTATGCAGAAAGAAAGCTTTTCTGATCATATCATTTAACATTTGGGCAGAGTCTTTAGGTGCTGTTACATGGTAAAACTTTTAGGTGAAACTTGTTTCCAATGGCACTGCACAGGACCTGGCACTTTCACAAAGGTTGTCACACTGAACACTTCTTTGTGAACTTTGTCTTAACAACTCAAGTTTCAGTATTGATGGCAGAGAAGCTATTCTGGTTTTTCAAAGTTTCTTTGAAAGAAAGGTTTTCAGTGCCAGGAGTATGTTAAACAATGCTGCATTAATCGATACTATATTGTCTCCAAACATGGTTACCAAGAGTCAGCTTAAAAGTTTCATATGTAACAGATCCTAAATAATTAAAACAGGCAGAGTCCTTTTGAGTATAATCACAATTGTGTGTATCTTATTTACACAATGACTTTTCTACCTCTTTTTTGGAGCAAACTAAAAAACAAAAAAAGTTTTTCTTTTGTTCGTTGGTATTTCTTTTCGTACATAAAAGATGAATGGAACAGAATACTGAGATAAATTGAGGTGAGATTGAAAAAATTCTGCACAGCCTTTCTCTGTATTCCAGTAGATTTAAACTGAATAAGTTTAGCACCCATTTCTTACTCAACAGTTCATTTCTATACAATAGTTAAAAGAAAGCCAGCTTCCTTTTTTAAGCAGCTAAGTAAGAATTCCATTTGGATTTTGTGCTGAACTATTCAAGTACAGAAAGTAATCAAAACCATAAAAAAATAATGAATTGTCAGGTAAAGAGTGATTTAAGAACAAGTGACTGGATTATGATAATTTCTTAGTAGAAAAACGTTTAAATACAAAGGTTATTTTGTAGGCTGGCAAAATTTTGAGTAAATGGTAAAAGTATGTGAATATTTCATGCATGCATGTTCTATTTTCTGAGTGACTGTGCCCAAACTTAAGCTACAGGTTTACCTTGGTGTAAAGACCTCTATTGTGTGTTCTCTTGTGAAGTTGAGCTTAAGTTTGAATAGTTGTATTTTTTGTCTATAATTATTTGTGATCTCGCATCTACAGGTTTTTACACCAAAGCTTTCCCTTACTACCAACATTCGTATGTCTGTCTCCAATTCAGTAAATATCTGATCCTCAAACGACTGGTATTCTATGATTCATCAAGGAGGTATATTCAAAGGAATACTTTAGTRCTACCGTGGCAACCAAACTTAACTAAGTAAATCCCATGGATTACTTTAAGTGAATATGGACAATCCACACCTTTGTAGTCAGCAAGTGGTCTGACAGTACGTAGGCTGCATAAGATTTTGTTTGCCAACATCTTATTTACAGTGGGCATTGCTCACATTCATCTTTACTAGTAGGTTATCATAATGTCTTGTAAACTTGTTTTTTTTWAACTTGGTTTTTGGTTTTGATAATACCATACACTGTGTCAAAATATAGTCTAAAAATAATACTCATCACGCTTTATAAGTTCCCCTAAGATAAGCACTTGAAATATACTATAACAATAGCTTTCTAAGACCTCAAACACACTCTGTAATATAATGCTTTTTTTGATATCTATGTAAGTGTATACCATTAAATGGCAAAATTTTAACATGCTAAAGCAATATATGATTTGGACTTAATAAGTCCAACATGCTGCAACAATAGCACGTTTCTAAAAGAAACTTATAATGTTTTAAAGAAAAAGAACTTTTTTCTTGGTAAGGCTATAATTATTGTTCAATGCAAAAAAGCCCTAAAAAGGGATTGATACATGTCTAGATTATGCACTGTTTTGTAATTTACCTAAAAACACGATAGATATGTAGGTCCTGACCATTGTGCGACATGGATTAGGTCAGCCATGTTTATTGTGCTTTCCTCTGCTCAGAACACGATTCCAGGTTCTTCTACTGGTGCTAAGTTGAATGAGGGATTCATGGCAATGGGTTTGAACACCAGCATTGCTTGGTCATAACTGAACCCATGTTTCATATTGGACTGCGACATGTTCTAAAACCAATAAACAGAAAATCATTATCATGAACACACTAACACCCTTAATGATGAAAAGTGCATGAAACTCCTGCATTAAACTCCTGAACTACCCCTTTATCACAGTAATCACTTACAGATTAGCCTGCATACATCCAAACACAAACTGTTGGTTAGTGTTCGCATGCATGCAAGCCACTTGCAGATAGGCAGCAAAATATTGCCAGTTGTCTTCAGAAAGGTGTTTTAGCAAAAATGAAGCTGGATTTAGGGGCCCAGACCAGTCCACCTATGATTAGGAAGGTAACCATGGTAACCATGCATGGTCCAACACTTGACACCTTATCACAATGCTCAGCCAAGTCAATGGAATAGACCCCTTGCAGTATGTTGAAATGCAGTGCAACTCAGGAGATTGAAATTTTTTTTTCAAAATTATTTTGTTCCTTCTAAATTGAGATGCTTTGATATCACATGCAAGAGGTTCATACTTGCACGGCAATATTAAGAGGGAGAAGGTTGAGGGCAAAATTAAACAGAAGAGTCAAGTTTGTTACACTTAAAAAGGATCTGCAACAATGAGCTTCAAATGCTCCCTGCCTAGCAAGCTGCCAGCAAGTGAGCCACAATTTTAACCTTGCATAAAATAAATTCAATGCTTGACCTCATAGTTAAAGACAAAGGTTCCTTTATCCAAAACTAAGCATGCATTCAATGATAATTATCACAAACGTTCCAAAAAAAAGGCTGGCAAAATGCATTATTTCCTGCACAATGTACTAGACTTTTTTYCCCCATTTTTGCTTGCATAATGTGCAACAGATGGAGGAAAAGACTTAATAACAAAACTTATATAAATGATAGCATCCATATATCTCAATTGTCTACAAGATGGATTAGTGTTATTGCAACAAAGGTGTATCCTTACTCTTATTCTAATTGCTCTTGGTCTTGAGACACCATAGGGGTACTTTTTCAATAATGTTTTCTGAGGGGAAAAAGAAAACAATATTATTGTTGTATGGAATAAAATCATATGAATAAAGAATTAGCTGTTCACTAGGAGCATAGACAAGGAATAATATTCACTAGGGAACATCTGTCATAAGAGGGAAAAAAATTAATGACAGCAGTATTCTTGAGTGTCTTTACGCACTTCACCAACATGGAAGATCAATAAATTAACATGCATGACCACACATAAACACAGAAACAAAAAAAACTTTTTTAGTTGTCATTCCTTGAGTTATTCTTTTGTACAATTTGGACAATAAAATTTATGAACTCTTATTTGAATATGAAATTTCTAAGGTTCAGTTTCAAGAATGCTTAGCCTTTGTTTTTGAATATAAGTACTGGGTGTGGGTCATTCATAAGTTCATATTACTTTTAATGCTTATAATAGAATATAAATAACTAATACTTCCTTTAATGAAGCTCAAGAAATATCATACATGCATCAGCTCGACATAAAAAATTTAGAAGGGACATTTTTAATGTAAATCCTATCTCTCTTCAAAACTATGGATTTCAATTTTGATAATCTTAGGGTTTCTTTCCTAATCCTATATCTTATTTGCTTCAATACACTTTGCACCTTTCTTAATTATATATACAACATAACCTACGCCAAATTATTGTATGTGAATTCAGAATACTTTCAAAATAAACAAATTCATTATTGGATATCAAGAGTTTGATATACATAATATTTGGATCTAGAAAATCTTTATTCAATTCATGGACACTCACAGCAGATGATGATTACAAAAGGATTGTGCTGTAGCATATGCAAAAATCATTTAATGGAAAAATCTACCACATAAAATCCAATCACAGATTTCTCTTTCAAAAATACAAAAGTTTCAAATTATATATTTGGGGCTGGACTTGGATACTACTGCTTTTGCAAACTTAATTTTTTTCTGACATTTTTACAGCAATTAAGATATCTTATTTTGGGTTTTCAAGCAAAAATATGGTTCCAAGCATAAGAATAAATACATACTTGATTAAAAGATTATAAATTAATGATACTTTATAGTTTTGGTAATAATGAGCTGGACAAACTGTAATCTGAAACGACTAATGTTGGTGGCATGACCAAAGAAATTATGTAGTTTCACCAAGAAACCAGCTTGTTAATTTAACAATTATTTTTTTAATGGCAAACATACTCCCACAGTTATTATTATAAATTTATGGGAATGGCCAAATTCATTAGTTATGCAGTTTAGCAATATGATTTGTTCTGATCAATGATGGGGTGAACCATGATCAGCTGGTGATATAAAATTTCTTGATGGCTGCTATATTCATCTAGATGTCTGTTTGCGGTCTGTATAAGTACTTGTAATTGCTGTAACTGTTAGTAATCAAATACATATTGCCGTGCTACAATCTACCGCAAGAATGCTTGAAAATTATGTTCACTTCTATTAATGTGCATCTGTGTGATAATTTTGCCTYGTTAGAAAACAAAATTGAACCTTTTTTTGGCCTTGAGTTCCAAAGGAAATAGCAAATAATCTACATCTACTATCCAGTATAAACACAATCAAACAGGAAACAGTCTTTATCATTGAAAGGAAGAGAGTTTTAAAACTAGCAGCTGTTCACACTAAGTTAGCATTCAACATAAAGGATCATGACAACTTTGAATTTAAAAAAATTCAAATTAAGCAGTTATAAGTAGATTTCATAGAACTTGAAAAGCAAGGCACAAAAGGCTTAAAAATAAATTTCTTGCATACAAAAGGTTCAAGGTTATTGCATGCAATGAAGAAATCAAAAATTCTGGATGGAAACAAATTTCATTCACTATTGGCAACTCAATTACGTTAGTAAGTCTGCCAATAAAAATTGAAATGCATGAAATCCCTGAGCAACAGAGAGGCATGCAATAATTAAGCCATTGTACTACGTCCATCACATTGTTTACACATGTAGAAAACGTGCTAAATCCAAGTGCTTGCTTCAGAAAAAAACAGCTGTTGTTAAAACAATCATTACAAGGATTCAATTTCCTATATCCATCAGTGGAGGAAGAACAAAAATAGAGCTAGAAAAAAAACAAGACACTTTTCAACCAGCTCCAATGGTTTTTGCCTCCATTCCATTTTCACCACTGTCTTAGTTTCTGTATAATTCTGCGTTTTTCCGATATAAGATGTTCATTATCAAAACTAAAATTGAATTTCTGGAAAAATGTTGATAAGGTGTAAATAAGGTCACCCAGAAACTTTATCCATGACGAAAGCAGCGTTGCATAAAATTGCTTCAGACTTGTCAATCAATCATTTTAAACAAAAGTAATTTATACGAAGAGTTTGTTTTACGTTTTTGTAAAGCTAAGAATTGCTGACAGTTCGAATTTTTAAAAATCACTATTTTCCTCCACAAAAACAGTCTAAAACTTAAGATGTGTATATTTTCTGTCGCAGTAATATAAACTCATTTAATTTAAAGGGACGTGAAATTAACTCAGGGCTACCCATTTCGTGTTGTTGGAGCCCATTTCCTGTATTGTGCACTAATGATAATACTTCAACTTACTCATAAATGATTTTATATTTAAAGGGAGAAAATTTCTGCAACTTATTAATGTTACCTGCTGCATTTTCTCGAAGTTTAGTGACGGTCGCTCGTCGCAAATAATAACTCTGTGCTTTCTTCTCGAATGTCCGTCTGTTGGTCGAACTTGGGCGCAAAATGCTGAATGTTTTGATAACACCGTGACTTTACCGGGTGGGCTCGAGCTTAATATTCCGGAGCTTGTTTTAGTCGAAAAAAGTTCTTTTATCTCGTCATCTGACGAGCTATCGTTCCCTGATCCAAGCTGATGCAAAAAGCGCTTGTTGCTGACTTGAGACCACTTTCGTTTTTCAGCCAAGAGATTCTTGCAATCCTCTGTAGTGTGTGGTATGTCAATCGGTGAAAATCCTGTACTACCGTCTATTCCAGCTATCTTTTTTCCTTCGGTCTGTAAAGGTGGGGGAAGGTTTTCTTGGTCTAGGGATGGACATTCTTTAAAGTTTAAAACGAGAGGTTTTGAATTTGATTCCTCTGCTTCCACTATGTTGTTGTTGAGAGAAACTGAGCCTAACGAGAGAAAGTCGAAAACATACCTTAGTGAACAGCTAAAAATAGATCTAAAAAATACAAAACAGAAAAATATCTATTTACCTTCTAGGTTTAAGTTCCTTAGCTCTTCGTCTTCATCCTCGGATCGTTCCATACCTTCCATATCTGACTCATGTCGTAAAAAACCCTATAGTAAATAAAAAAAGCAAGTCGTAAAAAATCTCGAGACATGAAAGTCATGAAATGATGATTTGACGCAATATACTCCTTTACGACAACRATTACTGAACCAAAACGTTATAAAATTTTTTCAAAACTCTTTCTTTTGTCTTTACCTGAGGTTCATAAGGCCTGACTTCATTTAAGGACTGGTTTCTGAATTTAGAAGTTAGAAATTTCAGCATCGTTTGATGAAGCAGTGAAGGCGACGGCCACAGAGGCTGATGTGTGTAGTTGGGAATGCAGGGAAATTCCCGCGAGCTTGGGAGTCAGTTTACCAAGACAGGTCTGGACAGGAAAAGGAATATGAAATTATTTAGAATCACAAGAGATAGTAATAGTACACTAATATTTTTTCTTCGGAAAATAACTAGCCAAAACTTTATCTTTTGTTTGCCAATTGGACTAAGGAAAAAAATATAGACCAAACTAGTGCTTCAATTCCTTGTTTTATTTCCAAATTTGCTTTTTAATTTTTTAAATGCGTACGAGTATTTCTTTCCAACGGCGTTCTCTAAACAAGATACTACCGAAAGAATAGTGGTAAGCCTTTACCATATAGATTTTTTGGAAGCCGTCTATCATAAACAAATGCGGTTAAACACCATTCATGAGCGAACCTTGGTTTTGTCTCAATATTTGTACTCTTCCTCGAGTCGTTGGTCGCCATCTTCGAGGGCATTCAACTAAAGGTTTAGATTGCCTTTAAATATATCAACATTGCTGGGAATAACTAATAACTGGTCTTCTGTGTAACACAGCCTATCTTGAAATTACGTGGGAAATAGACTAGAGATAAGAGCAGCCTGTGAGTGTGTACATGAAATACAAGCTTTATCGGCTTGTCTGCTTTCGGGTGACCGTGTTTCACACGCGAGCATCAAAACTAACAAAGTCATGGGCATTCAGAAGTAGAATATATTGAAAATGCTGCTTCTTTCTAGCTTACTAAGTAACTGACTCGGTAAAATAAAGGACAAAATAAGCTTACAAAAACTGCTTACAATAAAGGACCAGGTGCCTGTCACAAAGCGTTTTCGTGGCTTGGCTTTCCTTCAGTGACAAAGACATACGAGCTGATGGCAGGTAATTTTGAGCGAATTTTGAACAGAACTGTCTAAAACTATGACAATTCAGCTATGCTTTGACTATATTTGAAGTATTTTCCTTTCGTTTTTCACCTAACACGATCCAGCGATGTCGAACTTGTGTTTTTGAAAACAACAACGTATTCATTTCAGAATGAACAACGAAACGAACAACATCATACGAACGCAAGCCTTGCGCGTAATTTTTTTTTACAACAAAATTTTGAGATGAAAGTTCTCTTGCGGATGAGAAAATAAATCTAAAATTGAAAAAAGTTGTAGAAGATATGTACCTTTAGCCGCCTAGAAAGTGTCTTGAACTACGCCATGGATGTATTTTTCTTCTGTACTGCAGGAAGGTCTACTGCTCGTCGTAGCTTCGCACCGTAAATGAACACTAGAGGGAGCCAATAGCAAAGCGAGACCTTCAAAATCGCGTGCTCTGATTGGTCGTGCGAAATACTAGACACCCCATTCACTTGACTGAATAAAAATTACAAACCTAATCTCAGTAATCATTGTTTTGATTCTATAGTAAAGAACAATACGATCACTAATCTCTCCATAGAAACGAAAAGGRATTATCTTGTCTTTAAATCCCAACTCTATTTATTGCCAGGCCTTTTGGATCACCGCTCATATGATAAATTGCATACTATACTATGTGTCTTGGATTCCGACATATGTAATGAATCCTGGAAAAAAATGAATCGTTTCAGATATAAATTCACGTTTTACCATTTTCCATTTTCCATAGCAACTTTGAAAAATTCAGCTTGAAAACTTTTTTTTTACTTCGTGCTAATTGTTCATGCAAATTCAAGATATTGTCTTTAAGTATTTTTATATTTATGGTGGTCTTAGCAATTAATTAACAGGGCACCAGTAAACTTTGGGTTTTATATTTTTTTCAACTCAAGTAAGAACAACTTGGCTTGAGACTATCATGCTCCGATAGGTGTGTGGGGGCGTACAGATGAAACTATTATAAATATTATCAATAATAGTCTTTCCTGTTATTTGTTTCTTAACGTTTTTGGCAGAAATACTTGGTGAATATATGAAATAACTCACGCAAAAGCACACGACTTACACATTTGAAATTAAAAGTGATCAGTACAAGAGGAAAATGGATCCTTGACGTCTGACGTACTTTCACAATGGATGCGTGCCATTTCGTTAAACGTGCTCTTCGCAGAAATTATTACCAGCTTAAATAAATACTACGAAATTCACTGAGGATTCATTAGCAAAATGGTAATTTTGATGTAATTTTTCTAAGCTTAAATATTTGATGATTCTATTCCCTTAAGCAATAAATGTCAGTCACTTTCATTCAGTATGTTGATATTTGATCGCAAGGGCGAGTACTGCTGAACCATTACGAAAACACACCTTTTGGTTACGTCAGCTGATGCACGAGGGTACTACTATGGACTACACAACATACAATCGACTCACCACCCCCAAAAAATATGATACTCCAAGTAGATTATTATGAATGACATTTTCCCTTCGGATTTAATTAAATTTGTTAGACGTCACTTTCAGTCTTTTTATTTTCCTTCCTTGCATTTATTCCATAGATTTTTGTCAACAAGTTCTTCTCATTTTAAGAGGGAGAGATTACCACTAGTGAATGATAGTTTCAGCTGACTACCTGTCACTGTTTTGGGCATAAATTTTCGGTTCGCTTTGGAAAGGTTAATCCACGTGCACGCCCGGACATGTCATTTAAATTAGAACAATAGTTTAGAGTCCACGCGTCAATTTACATGTAAATAGAAAAGAAAATCTCCAATCGGTACTGTTTTGCACATCAATAATACAATGCTTGCCTTCCGCCATAAAGCAATGAAGGCAYTTTGTGACAACTGAAGTGCGATTTTGAAAACATAAAAATGCCAAATCGTTGCTTTTGGCTTATTTTCCTCTCAAAATTAATACAAAGGTCATCTGATTTGAATACAATGCGCACTGACAAGAGATCCACGAGTTGCTTTCGGCCATGCTGTTCTTCGTTTTATTGTCCGAGCATTTTGATTGGGTGGCCTTTTGACCAAGCTTTAAGATTTATGAGACTGCGTAGCATGCAATTCTTTAATAAAGGCATCCTATCGAGCCGCGTGTCCATTGAACTTTTGTGTCAAAACCTCCTGATGAACTCTCGTTGACTGACATGCTTTCTAAAATCTTTACTTCCAAGGTAATGGGCTCCTCACCCCAAACTCTTAGTTTGCTTACTTAACGACTAAAAGAGTCCACTGATGCGTTCAAAGATGACATATGTGCATCAAACACCTTGACTGTAATTAGCTTTTCACATGCCATGTATGGCCATTATCGAGGTTTACGAATATTTATTATCAACTTGCTTTGTGCGTGTTTTTGAAAAGAGAGCCAATATGAAGGAAGAAAATGAAAACGAGACAATTCCTTTACAGGTGCTGAAGGCGTTCGAAACTGACTATTATATTTGGGAGATGACGGGAGGTGAGGTATCTTTGGAGGCTCGGAAATGGTAAAATCGCTTTTGCATCAAGTTCAGTCCTTCTAGGACAATAAACGGGAAAACTCCAAAACAAAACAAAACAAACAAACAAAAGAAAAGAAAAGAAAAACAACAACAACAACAAAACAACGTATAGTAGGATTTGAAATGATTGAAATGGCTTGCGGCATGCAGGGTGTGCGTTTTCTAGCATTTTGAGTGGTTCAGGCAACACGGAAGCCATTTGGATGTCACCGGGTACGATCTATACTGCAATCAACTAATGCCACGTGACGTGAATGCCTACTGAGTAGTAAATGCCCATTTTGAAATAAAAGTTAAAGATAAGAAAAGTTTAATTAGAGTTATCCAATTTTCAGGTTCAGATGATATGTATCTATTGCAAACTACCGTACTCAAGGCAAAGTCGTAAAGGATTTCATTATATAACAGTGGAAATGAACGAGCTTCGGGCTGTAATAGATTTATACCTAATGACAATGATATATTCAACTAAATATCTCTAACAATCTAAGTTTTTCAATTCTTTTTACTTAGATGCAACGTTTTATTGCAAAAGCTATTGGACGCACTAATCGATGTTTTTCCCCACCATATAACTCAGTTATAACTAGATATTTCTCACTTACATATGCCGACACAATTCAAATTAAAAATTAAATTATCAAAATCATATTTTTCAAATATATATATTTATTTACCTTTTCAGGTGAATTTAATTTTTAAAGCTGAGTTCATGGCATTGCAGTGGTTTAGAGGTTGAGAACTACATAAGGGCGGGGCTTTGAAAAGCCTGAAATTTATAATCATTAGGCGCGGTAAAGATGCCATTTTAGTATAAAAGTGAATACACACATCATCCATTTTCAGCTTCTCTTATAAATTAGATTTTATGACAACGACATTTGAGTGGCTGCAGTCAAAGTGCAAATAGTCGGTTTATCATTTCACTGGACTCTCGATTGCGGCGACAAATAGTGGGTATCAGTTCTCGATTGTTCGGATAAAATAAAGAGGGAAAAAATATTCTAAAAATATATGAGGTTGAAAGAAAAGTGTTTTTTTTTTTTTTGTTCAATTACGCRACTAATTACGAAGGATAAATGGGTGTTTCATCGTGAAAAGGTTGATGATAAGGAATCTTTGATAACAAAAGACTCCGCTAATAACAAAGCACTCCAAAAACCTCCGCAATTTAAATAGGCTATCCTTTCGAGATTTTAAAAGAAATTTAGGTCTTTTTCCAGAGGCTTTTACAGCAGTTTGTAATTGTAAACTTTTCCATGGTGTTATTATGCTGTGAGTTCTAATGTCTTGGCTCAAGACAGGTTGCTTTTGACATGGATTTTTCCCTTTTGTATGTGACGATTCCAGTCTGCAGGTGTAGTGATAATCGAAGGGTCATAACTTGTTAAACAGAACGTTTTCCCGTCGAACTGGCGCGCCTCCTACTGCGAAAAGAGCGGGAAAATCTGCGATAGTCGCAGACTTCACTGGAATGGCTTCCTGTTGGAAATGATTTTCAATTTTGAATTTAATTTTAAAATATGTTAAACAGCTTAAATKAAGGTAAAAATATAGCGATAAAACTTTAAAAAAAGAACAACTAGAATAATAAATTCACGACAAAAAAGTATTTGATATTTTTAGAGATTTGCTACGTGTGATGGCTATGGAACTTAATGAGCTGAAGTCATGTAAACATGAAAAATAAAACCAAATTTAAGTAAAAACCATATATTGTTTTAATTTTCTTTTGTGGGCTTGACTTAAAACTAGCTTTTGAGAGTAACATTTAGACAGTTCAACGCATTATCTCGCTAAATAAAGAAAGCCTTTTGAATTATTCAGTAATGAATTACGTAAATTATACACTCACTACACTAGTACTATTCTATATTGGCGTAACTGTTTAGTAATTTTAGTGAAATCTTTTTCACTGAATTACCTAATGATAGAAATTAAAATGACAATACAAAAGTTCTTTTTCTCTCTCTCTCTTTCTTTTTCTTTTTTCATAATGATCTTATTTCAAAACCAGGACCTTCTCTTTGTTCTCTTTTTATTTTCTAGCGCCATTTTCCTCATTTTACAGTCGACACGACAAGTCAACTATCAAAATAGAAACCGGAAATTGTGGAATACTATAAGTAACGAAAAAAACGAGCAATAGAAAGAAAATATCGTGAGACGTCGCACAACACTTTATACATATATATATATATATATATATAATGTATATATTGTCTGAAGTGGAGTAAAGGTAATTAGGAAGTGTTGTATATATACACACACTTGATTGCAGAAAGGTTGTAGTATACATTTATACATATACCTGATGAGATGCAAGATATCAAATGAGATGCAGAATGTTAAACAAGCTTAAATACGATTGCTTAGCCACGACATTTTGTGGAAAATACTTTTTTAACTTGACTTTGTGCAATACTTATGTCTCTGATATATAATAGAAGATAAATAAGACCAAATAAGTTATTTTTTACTTTCTGCATCTCATTTGATATCTTGCATCTCAATAGATATATTTATAAACGTATACTACGACCTTTTTGCAATCAAGTGTGTATATATATATACATACACCGAATCCCTAAAACTTTGACAATTTAGCGATATATATACATATATATGTATCCCCTTTTTCCTATTGTCTTTCCTTGAAAATCCAGGTATGACAATAGAAAAGAGGGGGTTACACATATATGTATATATATCTTTAAAGTGTCAAAGTTTTAGCGATTCGGTGTGTATATATATATATATATATATATATATTTTAAATATATATAAACAGATATCGAACACACTCAATGACCGGGCGTACCATTACGCTAATCTCATTTGAACTCGTTTCATTTCTTTTTGTTTTTTCATTTCTTTATAGTTTAACTATAACCTTAAGGCCTGGAAGCGA